ACTCTGCAATACACTCCACATTGACCTATTCCTCACAAACCCACTGGGCAAGCTACAAACACGGTCCGCTGCAATCAACCTCATTTCGTGGTCAGACCACGCGGATATCGCTCTAAACCTGAGGGTACCAGGATCCCATGCACCCTGAAGATGGAGACTAAACAACTCCCTCCTACGGGTCAAGGAAGTCCTAGATCAGCTCAAAACAGAACTGACAAAGACTAACCCAGACGAACACTAACCCAGAAACAACCCCAACCATGCTCTGGGCCTCCCGTAGTCCTAAGAGGGGTGCTGATCAAGATAGCTTCACATCATCGAAAAACGCAAAACAGAGCGTTTAATCGAATTACAAAAGGCCCTACGCAAAACAGAAATGCAACATAAACAAAACTCCATCCAGAACAAACTACAGGAGCTACAGAATATTGCTGCGGAACCTCCTCTTGGATGTTGTAAGCAGAGATAGATATACTCCGCTCTAAGCGACTCTTTTACGAGAAGTCCAACAAAATGGACAGTCTACTAGCTAGGGCACTCAAACACAGACATAAACTAATAACGGCCATTAAAACACAATAAGGCAGAACCCTAACTACCCCCCTAGGAAAATAACAAGGAATTCACCGAATTCCTGAGCCAAGTCTACAACCACTCCCCCACCCTGAATAGCGCCGACACGAACTACGTTGCAACAGTCGCCAAGTTCATCGACAGGGTAAATCTCCCCAAAGCCACTGAGGGGGCCCTAGCCGACCTGGGCTTGCCAATAATGACAGGTTAGATAGAGAAGGCCATGGTAGAGAAGACAATAGGGATGCTCAAGGCCAACAAGGTGCTGGGCCCTGACTGGTTCGACGGATCACATTACAAAACATTGAGGGATGAGCTGGCACCACACATGACCGCAATGTACACAGAATGGATGGAGGGAGGAAGCCCCAACCCAGACCTCTCCACTGCCAATGTGATACTTATCCCAAAGCCAGGTCAAGACGATATGAATGTGGCCAATTACTGCCCCATCTCCCTAATTAACTTTGATTCCAAAGTATTTGCCAAAATCCTACCCACCAGACTAAACCAATTACTGCCCAAGCTCATACACTCAGATCAGGTGGGCTTTGTCCCAACGAGACAACTATACGAAAATACTAGAAGAGCGGTCGACCTTATTTGGTGGGCATGAAAGACCCGAACGCCTTCTCTCGTCTTATCTCTCGACGCAAGATGGCCTTCGACGGGGTCCAATGGCGCTATCTATTTGCCCTTCTTCAACATATAGGACTACCCATGAGCTACATCACAGCCATTAGGGCCCTATATGCCACTCCACAGGTTCAAATAGCATAACCCGGAGCGTGCCCAATGCCATTCAAACTTAGCAATGGCACCAGACAGGGATGCCTGCTCTTACCCCATCTCTTCATACTGGCCCTGGAGCCTCTTCTTCACTTTATCACACAACACCCAAATATCACAGGTATGAAAGTAGCAACCAACGAATTTAAACTGTCCGCCTACGCAGACGACATACTGCTCACAATTACCGACCCGAAAACATCAATCCCGAACCTGATCAAACTCTTGGAGGAGTTCAGGCTGGTCTTGGGATACAAAATTTACTTGGACAAGTCGGTGGCCATGCTGCTGGAGTTGATTGCTGGAGACACAGCACTGCTGGGGGAGACATAAAAATGACCCATCAATATATTAAATACCTGGGAGTTAAACTGACGGCTGACACAACCAGACTTTACACAGAAAACTAAACCCCAATGATCAAAACATTAACTAAAGACTTAGACAAATGGCACGACAAACCTATCTCCTAGATAGGAAGACTCCATGCAATAAAAATGAACTTATTGCCGAGACTGCGGTTCCTCTTTCAGGCACTGCCAATAAAGGTGACAAAAGAGGACTTGCAACCATTACAAACCACAATAGATAATTTCATATGGGCACACAAACGACACAGGGTATACCGACGCACTCTCTATCAACCAAAAGGACTGGGAGACCTGGGACTACTCATCCTAAACTTATATTACCTCTCTGCACAATTAGCACAAATTATTTAATTGCACTCACCCCCCGACACACGTCGGTGGGCGGACCTAGAATCCTTAATAATGGGATCAGACCACCACCGTACCGGATATGGGTACCAAAACCAGACCGGCCCCCACTCCGCACAGACTGCCCAGCAATATTAAACTCTGTTAAGATATGGGACGCTACCGCCAGAAAGTACTCGCTAACTAGCACGCCCTCACCCCTTACACAAGAAACAAAGCATTCGAACCGGGAATGATGGCACGGGACTTCAGAGGACTAGAATACACAAGGCTACAGCGGTACTGCCAAATGTACGACAAGGACACATTTAGGACTTTTGACGAACTCAAACAACATGCACCACTAACCACAAAAGACCATTTCAGATATATTCAATTGAGGGACTTTGCTAGGAATTAACACATATGAGCAGCAGCCAGGGCCCCGCTCACATTCTACGAAAGACTCTGCATGAGAGAGACAGCACGCAAAAGTTTAATAACTTCCCTATATGCCCAGCTCAGCTCCCCAGAAGGCGACGAAGAACCCCTTGCATACATTACACACTGGAAAACGGACCTACACCAAACCTTAGAGGGAGGGGAATGGCAGGATATCTGGCAGGCAGCAGCTAAGGTCTCCATCTGTGTGACACTCCAAGAGCGGTCATACAAAACTCTCATGAGGTGGTATACCACCCCTGTCAAACTATACCGAATGGGCAAAACTCCCACGGATGATTGCTGGAGGGACTGCGGCGCAAAGGGGACCTACATCCACATGTGGTGGACCTGTCCAAAGGTAGAGCTTTTGGCTAGCAATATAAAAACTAATGACAGATGCCCTGGAGAGGCAGGTCTGTAGAGACCTGTGGCTCTATCTCTTGGCCAAGCCACTAGATGGACTTACAGCTCGAGAACAGAAATTAGTGAACAAAATAATACTAGCCCAAAAATGGCTCAATACCAACACCCCTCATCTAGACAAGGTTATCACTAAAATAAATGATAACTTCCTCATGGATAAACTGACAGCGCAGGTGCGTAATACCACTACCTCCTTTAACATGGTGTGGCAACCGTGGGAGGAATTCCTGGAAAAGAACGGAAACCCCTGCACGCTCCCTCCACTCATCTGTTTGCTCTCTCTATACTCTCTTTGAATCCCCCCCTCCATTTTTACCCCCTTCCCCTATCTACTACTCACATGAAAAAAAGCAGTTCAAGATGGAGCCAACCACCAGATGGGCACACCATGCTATCCGATCCTTACCAACTGGTGTACACCACAGCTGGAGCCCAGCTCAAATGAGTCTATGTGTAAACTGCTTCATAGACTGTAACGCAATAGACCCTGGCAAATGTCACATTATATAATTATAACCAAATGTACAAGCCTCAGGGTCCCCTCAGGGTCCACCTCTCGCCCGGCTCTGGAGAGAGGAAAGGGGTTAAAACTTACCTTTTTCCAGCGCCCGGCGGGGAGCTCTCCTCCTCTCCTCCCATTCGGCTGAATGCGCACGCGCGGCAAGATCTGCGCGCGCTTTCAGCCTGTCTCATAGGAAAGCATTTACAATGCTTTCCTATGGACGCTTGCGTGCTCTCACTGTGATTTTCACTGTATACTTACTGTATACCTTAACTATGTTCACCATGTGTGCAATGCTGCATTTTTTAACTAATAAATAAATTTAAAAAAAAGAATTTTAACCCTGCAATGACAACATTGAGTTTCCTGCAAAACAGCAATGTTTTCAGTTCCTGGGTTAAACAGACAGGGATTGGCATCCAGATCACTTCATTGAGATGTTTGAGAGTGCCCAAAAGGTAGATCCCCGGATGTTGTAGAACTACAACTCCCATGATTCTTTGCATGTCTTTGCATGCCTTTAGAATGACAAGGAATCATGAATGTTGTAGTTTTAAAATATCTGGAGATATAGAATCTCTTTAACGTTTGTAACAATGTAGTAAAGCATTAAAATTGCAAAAAAATTTCAACTTGTCTAATTTGTTAAAAAAATATTGAAAATGTATAACAGGGAGTTGCGCAAGGCGGTCCCCTGTTAAATCGTTAAACTGTTAACAACAGTTTGACTACTACATTGAAATTTGCCAGATTGGTTAAGTAGCCTTTGAGAGCGTATGGTAGCCCAGGAATGAGAATTACCCCCATGATGGCATACCATTTGCAAAAGTAGACAACCCGAGGTATTGCAAATGGGGTATGTTCAGTCGTTTTTAGTGGCCACTTAGTCACAAACACTGGCCAAAGTTAGCGTTCAGAATTGTGTTTTGCATTTTTAACACACAAACAAATATAATTGCTAACTTTGGCCAGTGTTTGTGACTAAGTGGCTACTAAAAAAGTGTGAGGTGTGATTCAGAGATTTATGATAGATATCAGTGTTACAATGTCACTATTGATACATTTTAAAAATATATATTTTGAAACAGCAATGTCCTACTTGTACTTATAGCCCTATAACTCACAAAAAAAAAAGAAGCTAAGAACATGTTAACATTGGGTATTTCTAAACTCAGGACAAAATTTAGAAACTTTTTAGCACGGGTGTTTTTTTGGTGGTTATAGTTGCGTAACAGATTTTGGGTGTCAAAGTTAGAAAAAGTGTGTTGTTTTTTTTTTTAATTTCATCATATTTTATAAAAAAAATTATATTAAATGATATGATATGATGAAAATAATGGTATCTTTAGAAAGACCATGTAAGGCTAAAAAAAACCCCTGTATATAATATGTGTGGGTACAGTAAATGAGTAAGAGGAAAATTACAGCTAAACACAAACACCGCAGAAATGTAAAAACAGCCCTGGTCCTTAATGGTAAGTTTGGCCAACAAGGGGTTAAATCAATAACCTTGAACTGTGGTTTCAATTTGGCTATTAAAATAAAATCTGAAATTATCAGAAATTAACAGTATCAGAGTTTGGGAATATTTCCCATTTTATCCTTTAAAAAAAAAAAAAAATCACAATTCTCATTCATTCCAGGTTTTAGTGGCTAAAAACCCCAATGGATCTGATGATCGGCAATCCATTGCAAAGCCTGGCTGAGCCTGTATGACAGACAGCCTATCAGGGCAGCAGCCGTGAGCTGGAGGATGTGAGGACACAGGTGAGAGAGAGAGCAGCCTCGCTGCTAGAATCCAATCCAATCCTGGGAGAGGTCATCTATCGACCGCTCGGCTCTCTGCTGCTTCCGCCTGCCTGCCGGTGGGCTGGGACTGTGACGTGTAGGCTTCTGGAGCTCTCAGCAGTTCCGACTCGGGCAAGAGCAGGCAAGGTAAGGGCCAGCTGGGACTCTGCCGGAGGGAGGGGGGCTACTAACAGGCCGCCGCTCACACACACACACACCGCCGCTCCCTCCCTGTCACGCGCCCGGGCCCCTCAGCTCAGGACGCGGGAGCCGCAGTCTCCCCCCCTCAGCCACCGACCCTCGCCCTGCCTCGTCGGCACAGAACGAGAGGCGGAAGTGAGTTGTGCCTTTGCCAGGCACGCCGGGAAATGTAGTCCGAACACCGGCAGGCTTCCATCTGCAGGGCTCTCTGAAAAACTACAAATCCCATGAGGCCTTGTGGTGCCGTGAAAGAAAAAAGGGGGTCTATGGCTCATCTGGTCCATTATTCATTCTCCCCTCACCCTGCAGGGATCCAGTGAGCTCTGTATTAATATATATATATAAACATATATTACACAGAGCACACAGTATAAATATATAAACATATATTACACAGAGCACACAGTACCCCAGAGCCACCATCCTGGTGTGTTTGTAGGGTCACATGATTGACACATGGATAATGTATATTGATTAAAATGGGATATTAATGGGAGATTGGCCCAGTTTAAACACTGGGCTGCCATTTCCAGACACCAGGGCCTGTGCTCTCTGTCATGGCTAACCTTTGGCACTCCCCATTTGTTGTGAGAGACATTCCCCATGGTGATCACCCAGCCAAATGGTTGGAAAAAAAACCCCATCGTGTCAAATGTAGTTCACAGCAAATACAGTGCCAGAGGCTAGCCAAGGTGGCCTATAGCCTATATATGGCTTTACAATCATTGGTGTCCAGCCATTATTTGTTGACAGTGTCATGAATCCATGGTGCAATCCTAGAAATCAATTTATTTTTTAACATGATTTATCATAATTCATTACAAACATTTTATTATTATTATTATTATTATTATTATTATTACTGGTGTAGTATACGCCAGGATTTTATAATCCACGTGTCCTGTTCGTCATCTTGATGATGATGATTATTATGTTATTTGTATAGCGCCATCAAATCCTGCAGCGCTTTACAGTGGGTGGACAAACAGACATGTAGTTGTAACCAGACAGGTTGGACACACAGGAACAGAGGGGTTGAGGGCCCTGCTCAATGAGCTTACATTCTAGAGGGAGTGGAGTAAAATGACACAAAAGGTAAGGATAGTATTAGACTAGTGACATTATTGTATTTATTCAGTAACCAGCAAATTGTAGTGAATTGAAAAATCAAATTTCAAATTAGGCTGAAATAGTTGCTCTGGAAAACAATCTTTTACTCGGCTACAGTCACAATTTGTCCATTTTGATTTTAATTCACCAAAATTCTGAGTTGGTGAATATACCTCCTGTGTGTCATTACACGGTTAAACGGATACCCCAAGCACCATAATCAATATAGCATGCTGTAGTGTTTATGTTGCCAGGAGTCCCCTGATTGCATCTCACAGTAAGCTGCAAAATGTTTACAAACAATTACCTTTTTTTTTTATTGGGCACCAGTGGCCCTTCTGGTCTGCAGTGATAGTTTAAACTTCAATATCAGCTTTGGTTTTTATTCATTGACTGAGAATGTCGGCTGAAAAATGCTTCAATCGTGCAAAAATGTGTTGCTTTTGTAAAGAAGACAATTTGATCTGTTTGTCATGTAAAGAGAAATTCTAGCAAAAGTATAAAGGAAAAGACACTAAGCTACCTAACCGCTACAGGCCAGTGGTTGATACGTCTAGAGTGCCTCAGGTACCTTCTCACGGTTTAATGTTACCTTTGGTTTGATAGGAGATGTGGCTTTAACCCAGGCTTCCCCAAACTCTGGCCCTCCAGATGTTGCTGAACTACAACTCCCATGATTTTCAGCCTATCTATTTCATTCATAGAATCATGGGAGTTGTAGTTCAGCAACATCTGGAGGGCCGGAGTTTGAGGAAGCCTGCTCTAACCGGTACAAAGAGATCTCTCCCATCTTGTCCACACTGATAACCCTTCAACATTATCAGTGTCCATTTCACCCAGCTTGGTGCAGTGAATGGCTGAGAGTGTTGCACTAAATCGCTTTTAAGCCAATCAGTGTTATCAATGCTGGTCAAAATTGGCACGTGGAGGCTTTAATTCTGGGTGTTCAATGCAACTGAGATTGGGGTGCACACTTGGTGAGCCAAAGTTTATAACAAAGATTTGATATTAAAATGTTGGACAGTGTCAGGAGACTCTAGGCAACTTGATTAGTAGAGAGTGTTCCTTTTGCATTCGCATTTCTGCTTAAATGAGGAGTTATGGGACTATCAGGCTCTTGACTATGGTATGTGATCGTATTCCATAAATCATCAAGCAGGGGTTTCGTTTATGTAGTTAGGCCTCTGGCAACCGTTCCAATCATCACATAGGAAGGGTGGAACTGCTGAATAAACCAATAGCAGCCACACCACGGCTGCTATCAGTTTGCAAGTCTAATTTAAATGTTTTAGAATGAGCAGTCCTTGTTAGTATGTACAGTCTCTACTACCTCTGCTTCTAACAAACAGATACATCTTTATATCCACAAGTGTTTTAAAGTAATGAACGTACAAATACAACTGACAAAAGCTTTATTAGCTAAAAGAGTGTCATGCAATCTATATGCTTTATCATGCTTTATCAACAGGTGAAGCTTGTTAAAGGAACACTATAGTCACCAAACATCTTAATGAAGCAGTTTTGGTGTATGGATCATGCCTTTGAAGTTTCCACTGCTTAGTTCGCTGCTATCTAGTAGCTAAATCACTGTTGTTCCTTTTTATACAGCCCTGGCCACACACCTACCCAGGCTGTGATTCACACAGCCTGCAGGAAAAAAATGGTTTAATTTTCAATCAGATGTTAACTTACTCCTACTTTGTTAATTGAACTTTAAGCACACACTGGAGGCTCCTGTGTAGTATAGAAGGCTATTAACAGTGCAGGAGATAAAGAAATCCTAAATTAAACACACTGTGCAATAATGGATGTCTAAATATTAGATCTCACTTTACAGGAAGTGTTTAGGAAGGATGTGTAACATGCTGGGTGCTGTGGCTGCATAAACAAAGTGATTTAACTGTTAAATGGCAGTGAATGATCCGTACAACAAAACTGCTTCATATAGGGTCAGTTATATAAAAGTTTGTTCCTGACCCTATAGTGTTAAAAACACTAATTAGGTGGCTCCATCCTTCTCCCGTTCCTTGCCTCCCTTGAATGAGACTTACCTTTATTCCATCGCTTTCTGGGTCTGCCAGCACTGGCCCTGGCTAAGATCATCAGACTTAATTATCTCAGCCAATCCAATGCTTTCCCATAGGAAAGCATTGGGAGGCTAATGCAGGCGCGCAGCAAAATCACCCCCTCTGCATCAATCAGCATCTCGTCATAGAAATGCATTAAAGGACCACTATAGCGCCAGGAAAACATACTCGTTTTCCTGGCACTATGACCCCACCCTTAGGGTCCCCCTCCCGCCAGGCTATAGGGTGAGGAAGGGGTTAAACTTACCTCTTTCTCCAGCGCCGGGCGGGGAGCTCTTCTCCTCCTCATCGGCTGAATGCGCATGTGCGGCAAGAGCCACGCGTGCATTCAGCCAGTCTCATAGGAAAGCATTCACAATGCTTTCCTATGGACGCTGGCGTCTTCTCGCTGTGAAAATCACAGTGAGAAGCACGCAAGCGCCTTTAGCGGCTGTCAGTGAGACAGCCACTAGAGGCTGGATTAACCCTAATATAAACATAGCAGTTTCTCTGAAACTGCTATGTTTCTAGAAAAAAGGGTTAACCCTAGATGGACCAGGCACCCAGACCACTTCATTAAGCTGAAGTGGTCTGGGTGCCTATAGTGGTCCTTTAAACCAATGCATATCTATGGTGAATGTTCAGCACCTCTATGCAAAGCATGGAGTCGCTGAACCTCAGCAGTGACCCAGGAAGCACCTTGAGTGGCCGTCTGACTGACTTTTACTTGAGGTGTCCCTAGGCAGCAATGAAAACACTGCCTTTTCTCATCAAGTGTAGGGTTCTGGTGACTATTGTGTCCCTTTAAGTTGTTTTGGTGACTATAATGTCCCATTTTAAACAAATTTGTTTTCCTGGCACTATAGGGTTAATAGGTCCCCCTCCCTTGGAGAGCCCTCCTTCAGCCACTTACCTTAATACAGCGCCGATGTCCCTCGGCGTTGGGTCAGGCTCCTCCCCCGCTGTCAGCCAGTGGGGGAGACCTAGTGCGCATGCGCGGCAATGGCATTATTCAATGCTTTCCTATGGGGAAAAGCTGACGCAGGTCTGTGAGGATTTCCAGCGTAACATAACAAACAGAGTGCAGACTTAAAGCTGCAATGTAAACATTGTAGTTCTCTGAGTTTAACATTGCAGCACTAAGTGCAAAAGGGTCACAGCACCCAGACTACTTCAATTAGCTGAATTGGCCTACAGTGCCCTTTTAAGTTAATGCTAATATTGCTTGTCATTTCATGCACTGTTTGTTTGAATGTAGTGGATAAAGACATATGTTATTTGTTCTGAGTAGTGTTGAGCTGAGGAATGGTTTCACATTAGCACTGATTCTATATAGAAGCCTTTTACCTTGCACTGGGCTGCCCAGGGTGGTTCTGGTAGGTACCCAATCGCTAGTAGACAAGTGTTTTTTTTTGTTTTTTATTTTTTTTTTTATTGGTTTTTGTTTGATTTTAACCTATGCACAATTACAATTACCCCACTATATTAGTTACATTGTAATTAGTTGCCATCCATACTTATACTATTTGTCTGTTTGTTGAATTTGCGTAGCTTTTCCTAAAAATTATTTCAAAGTATTCCTGCAGGTGAAAATGATCCTTTTTGAAGCAATCTCTATAGTTGTAACAATTTAATTATTCACGAAGATGGAAATGATGGACAGTTCACAGTTCACAGTGGAAATGGCACATTTTAGGCAAGAAGAGTTTGTTCCTAAAGTGTGCGTTTTCCTCATCATTTCTGTACGGTTGCCCAATCAAGTCTGCCTACTAACACTTTGTTTTCCTTTACATGACCTACTTTGATAATCGCAGGTAAGTCAAGATTATTAATTGGGTACCTTCCAGTGTCTACAATTACTGCAACATTCGTGAAAAACACACACGTTTAGTTACCCTGTATTGCAAATGTTGACTAAATATTATGTACAGATAATTTAAATGCTATGTTTAACTTAAAGGGACACTTTAGTCACCAAAGTTACTTTTGCTTAATAAAGCCGTTTTGGTGTATAGAGCATGCCCCTTCAGTCTCATTGCTCAAGTTTGTTTAGGAGTTAAATCACTCTGCTTTTGCAGCCCTAGTTACACCTCCCTGCATGTGATTTACACACTTTCCCTACACATTGCCTGAAATAATTTTAGAATGGTTTGATTTTTTTATTTGGAGTCTGCTAGGTGCGGCTTCCCACATGTCTTACAGTCAAACTCCTCGTACAGGGAGAGGAACTTTCAGTGCTCTAGATGTTGTGGACTACATCTTCCATGATGCTCGCACAGCCATAATGCTGGCAAAGTATCAGGGGAGATGTAGTCCAAAACATCTGGCATGCCAAAGGGTACCAATCACCGGCCTAGTAGGAGCTTCCTTTGGCTCTCCTGAGATCTAGCTCATTGGCTGAGACCCAGCTGATTGCCTTGACCTGCACCGCTAGGCTTAGCTCAGGCAAGGGGGCTTCCTGCTCTCGCACCAGAAAGGACGAGGCAGGAACCCAAAAAAGAAGCCAACATGTTAGAGAATGATTTGAAACTTCCTTTGTGATGCTGACTTACTGATTTCTTTGCAGCATACTAGTATATGAATAGAGTGATGTTAGTCACTACATTCTTCTATTTCATAGCCAGCGCTAACCACATTGATTAGCGAGTTACCATAGCAACCACAGAACATGCGCTATGGCTGCGATGCTTGGAGACCAGAAGTACTGCCTGTAGAACGTCCTCTGCTCTCCCTGTCGTTCAATTCTTCAGCACAGAGTCTATGCCAAAGATTCGTTGACAGGTCTAGGAAAGACTTGTTTTTTTAAATAGGTTTTTCTCCCATTAACAAATTTGCATTGTAAAATGCATAGATGGAATTTTATGCTCCTTTAGAAAGCATGGCAGTAACCCTTTAAAGGATCACTATAGTGTCAGGAAACCAAAAAGTTTTCCTGACTCTATAGTGCCCTCAGGGTCCCCCCTCCCGTGGCGCTATGGACGCTCTGCGCGATGGAGGCGAAATTCGCCTCTAGTGGCTGTCTAGAAGACAGCCACTAGTGGCTGGATTAACTCCAAATGTAAACATAGCAGTTTCTGTAAAACTGCTATGTTTGCATCTAATGGGTTAAAACCTGAGGGACCTGGCACCCAGACCACTTCATTGAGCTGAAGTGGTCTGGGTGACTATAGTGTCCCTTTAAGGTTAACACTAAGGAGAGGCACTTTAGAGGTGTACATTTTGGTTTGAATGAGGAATAATGCTTTTCTGATTTACTGTAGGCTATTTTTACTCGGCCTCTCCTGTGAAGTCTTCACACCACCTGCTTTGTCCCATAGGATGTGATCCTCTCCCAGGATCACACAGAAACAAATGATGATGATATTGTTCACACCAAAAAGACTGTGCCTGCACGTGTGCCAATACCTAGCATAGAAATCCTGTCTTTCTACATGTAAACATGACCTGCAGTAATGCTGGGACTTCACAGTTTTCTTATGCATTCATCTGATTGTTCTTAAAATAGGAATATCAAAGCATCTGACTGATCTGTACTGCACTAAAATGCACTGATCTGTTTCATCATTCGGTGCATCCAATCTCAGCTCTGTCAATGGCAGTTTCTCTAAATTTCCCCATTCCATTCATTCATTTCTGCTGAGCCAAGCTACATGCAGTCACCAGCCATAGCGTCACTGTGTTTCCTGCTGATGATGCAGTGCATGGGATGTCATGTGGAGACTGCAGCCCATTATTCTCTCCATCACACCTACAAATTATTGTGTGATTTCTGTTCATGTTCGTACAAATAAAGTTTTCTGTTCCCCACCCCACCCCCAGGGTGCATTAGTCATTATTTTACGTAAGTGTGACACAACAAGTACTAGAAATTTGGGATTCTGTAGAATAAAACAGAAAGCATGTTTACTTCTGTTGCCTCCAAGGCATGCTTTTATTTTATTAAACATTTATTTATTTTTTTAAACTAATTAATTTTTTTTAAATCAAGTTGACACGAAGGGCTAGGCATGGGATTAAAATCACATTAACCCCTACAGTGCAGCCCCTGTGCTCATTTGTAGTCTGACCGTATTACCAAGGTAGCATAAAATTATATATATCGAGGCTTCTAAAATACTTCTGTCTTAAAGGGTTAAACTAGACCCTCGTGCGACTCAGTACACAAACCTGGATGACTGGATTCATGAAAAGGCTTTATTTTTCTATCACTGGTGCAAAATAGATGTTCCCATTTTTTTTTTTTTTTTTTTATAAACCACAGCACACCTATGTAGGATGGGCAAACTGGTTATATGTAAATAAAGTCAAGGTACATACAAGACGTGTTCTGTTGCCTGCTGCTTAGTTACATTTTCTGCCCCCTCTGAGCTTGTTAATTTTGGATATTAATTTTATTTTTTTGTATCTGCACTTTTCTTTCTCATTGCTTTTGATACTGTGCAAAATGTAAATCGTCTGGATTTGAGAGTGAATGTAAAATTTTGGGCCAGTATAGCTGCTGAAATTTTACAGCTTGACTATTTTGGCTTATTAAGATTAATATCCACCATAATGTCTTCACTAGCACAACGTTTTAATATTATCAAAATAGAGCTAATTACCATTTGTAATTGGTTATTTGTTCCTTTTAAAGAAGAACTTTCACATCACAAGTAATGGTGCTCTGATAATAATAGTTGGCTACTGTACTATGTATAGAGCTTAAAACCTGAAGTCCGATGTTACTAGCCATGCATTAAAAGTTACTCACCTCTGCAAGCCATAGTATACCCTCCAGGGGATAGTGTAAAAAAGCAGAACTGTCTCCAACTAAAAGGTGATAGTTCTCTTTTTTCCTTAAAGGGACACTAGAGCCACCCAGACCACTTCAGCTCAATAAAGTGGTCTGGGTGCCAGGTTCCTCTAGGGTTAACCCTGCCTGCTGTAAACATAACAGTTTTAGAGAAACTGCTATGTTTACATTTGGGGTTAAGCCAGCCTCTAGTGGCTGTCTTCCGGAAAGCCACTAGAGGCGCATCTGCGACGCTGGAGGCCTATTATGCCTCCATCACGCAGAGCGTCCATAGGAAAGCACTGAGAAAGGCTTTCCTATGGACACTTTGAATGCGCGTGCAGCACTGCCGCGCATGTGCATTCCGCTCCGCTGACGTCAGACGGGGGAGGAGAGGTAAGGGAGCCCGGCGGTGGAATAAGGTGAGTAACTGAAGGGGTTTTACCACTTTAGCACCACGGGAGGGGGACCCTGAGGGTACTATAGTGTCAGGAAAACCGATTTGTTTTCCTGACACTATAGTGATCCTTTAAATTTAGCATTATTTCTGAAACCATCAAAATGACTAAATGTTTAATTTGTGTCCTATTTTTAAAATTTGCTTTGAATTTACTATTTGTCATGCCAAAATGGCTCATTGAATATAATCCATCATTACATTTTTATTCCCAATGCCACCGTGGGCTTTTTTCTTCATGAATACTTCATTTTGTTGTTTCCACAGAAACAGGATGTCGGAAGGGGACAGCATCGGAGAGTCAGTTCATGGCAAGCCCTCTGTTGTGTTTCGGTTCTTTTCAAGATTTGGACAGGTATGTCTTTGCACATACAAATCTATTCACTAAAATGTGACTTGACAGGAATTCAAAGTAAATGTCTGATACTAGGGCAAAAAAAGTGGAAAATGCTTTCTTTGTTTTCCGTTTGGTTTACAGCCAAAACGAGTGTTTTAAGCACCTTGAGTTTTCTTAAAGTTCCAAGTCCATCGTGAAAAGGCTTTGGTTTCTTTGCAGCTGTTTATATTGCCTATTCAGCTAATAAGTGACAGCAGAACAGTTGAATGAACTACTCATAATGAAGCAGACAGTAAACGTTACAATACAAGATTAATTCTATTAAAAAGTTCAGTGGCCTTTGAGAAGTAGCTTTTATAGAACATTAGTGTCCAACTTTGGCACTGAAGACTTGCTGAGCATCATGGGTAATGTATTTCATAAAAATCCACACTACGAAGATTAACTATTAGTTATACCTTCATTTTATTTTATTTTAAAATAACCCCTCTCTTTTCAGGACACATGGAATCTGTGTGCAGGGGTGGGATGTTTAAGGAAGCATTCCAGTCTGAAATTAACATATATTAGTTTTTCTTTTTCACGCATAAAAAAAGTAATCATAACAAATCCACAATAATAAAATATAAAAAATACTTCTAACAGTTAAAGTTTAGGCGTTATTTAGCAGATTTCAGTGCTTTTTTTTGCGCAGCCTCAGTTGCATAGAATAGTTTTTCTACAACTTGTGAAATCTGCATTAGAACTACAACTCCCCTAAACCATTGTTGTGCACCCAAATGGCATTAAAATCAGTTTTATTGGATATGGCAGGTTAGGAAGGAAGGACACAAAGGGAGCTGTACACAGGTGGAGGTATTTTAGAATGAAGGAGGTCAGACAGAGGAAACTGCTAAGACGCAGACCTCTGCAAAATGTTTATTTATTGTGAAAAAATACATGTAATTATTTCTGATGAAAGCTATAAAACATATGTTAGTGCCTAGACGGTCCCTTTAACAAACATCCTGATCAAGGCTTAAACCAAGGGTAGGTAGGCTACATTCGGCACACCAGATTTTGCAGAATTCATGACTACTGATGCTTTGCCAACATTATGGCTGCATGAGCATTAGGGAGATGTAGTCCATGACATCTGGAGAAGCAACGGGTTGTCTACCCCTGGCTTCAACAATGATGAGCTCCAGAGAGTTGGATCATAAAACAAAACCGAGCCTAGCATGTGTCCAATTATTTAATTTATTTAATTTTTGGATGTGAAACCAGTAACATCTTGTATGAAATGGAAAGGTTAAGCCATATTACCTTGATTTAACCACGTCTTGCGTGTGCATGTTTTGTCTGTAAATTATGATTTTGTTTGCCAAAAAAAGATTGTCTCTCTCTTACCTAGAACATTTAATTATTACTGCCTTGATGTGCTGTAGGAATTTGAGATAGAATTTTAGAGGAGTTCGAGTTAACTGGGGAAGGTTTACACATACGTTTTGTTTAAAATCATAGTTTTGTACATTCTGTTTGATTGTTGGATGCTGCATGTTTTATGCAACAAAAAACTGTACAACAAAAAAGTGCAAATACAGTGTAGGGCGCCACTATCACAAACACAGTGATGTGAATAATTACCAGCAGGATGATGAGCTTCTAAAACTCACAGAAAAATAAAAAAAAATATCATCGTGCAAAACAGCTTTGATTTTCAATAGATAAAGGATAAAAATGGAACACTCACAAATAAGATGGCACAATTGACATAAATCAATATGTGCAGAAGCGCATTTTAGCCTGTAATAGGCGATTACCCCAGATGCAGCAGTATTTATGGAGGTTTCAGTAAATTGATTCTGATATCTCTAGCTGCCGAAGACTTTCCTGGGCTGTATACGTGCTGTATGGGTGCTCAACGCTTTTCGTCTCTGTGTAGTAGACTTCCTCAGGAGCATGTTGTGTCGTCTGTGACCGGCGGTTTAAATCTGCCGGGTCGCGTCCTCTTCCGGTATGGGCGGGACGTGACGTCATTACGCCTACGTCTGCCCCCCACGCCCGTTCCACTGTGGAACGCGAATTAACTTTATTTATATTGGCACAATGGACCGGACTCTGCTGCTATGTAACAGATGCCGGTCTGTAGCCCTATGCCTCATAACATAAAACCACCAATCTATTTCATATGTAAAACATCACTCTATATGTGAAAGGAATATTTATAACTGCATTTATATAAAATAAAGACTGTATAGGTGCATGCAAATTATAGATTGGTGGAGTAATAATTAAAAAGCAGGATATGTTACAAACACACAGTATGTTACAAAGACACAATATTCAATAATAAAGGTGACAGTACCCATCAATAAATAATATTCCAAATTGTCAATAATCAACTTAAAATGACATAAATATTTCAAAAGTATTTAAAAACAAATTCCTTTATCAGACCGGGACCGTTGTAATATCAGTAGTGCAAATCTTAACTTAATGTATTGGACGGCATTCAAGACATAATTTTTTTAAGACATAGTTTTTAAAGGAGCAGAGTAAAGAAAAAATAGAAAAATTGGATATACACAACCATATCAATATAAGAAATAAAAAACATTATCCTTGGCGTAACCCTAGAGGATACAAAGACTGAGATAGTTATAAAATATAAGCATAGAAACCTCATATACAAAAACGCCATATAAAAATAGAATACAAAATTATAAACTGCGAAAAAAAATTAGACTCTCTCGTCTGGAATAGAGGTTTTTAATTTTAAAAATCCATTCAGACTTTCATGGCAAGTTACTTTTCCGTGTCACTTCCTCTCCAATGGGGGGTGACAATGTCAATACCAATGCAACTAAAATTTTCAAATTTAAATTTATTGCAATGCCTTGGTACATTATGTTTGACATTATTTCTCTTGATGCCATTAAAATGTTCTAGAAGTCGCACATGCAATTTTCGTATAGTGCGTCCTATATATTGTATGCCACATTTGCACTGTAGCAGATAGACCACATTTTTACTTTGGCAGTTTATAAAATGTTTAATATTAAAAGACTCCCCTGTACTAAAACTTTTTTAAAATCCACTGTTTTATACGGTTGAAACTTGCAGGTGCTGCATCTGCCGCACTTGTAAAAACCTTTTGATTTTTCTCTTAGAAAACTATTTTTAGGGGTCATTGGGTCTCTGCTTGTTCTCAGTTCTTTTATTTGTTTTATCACTGTGCTGAAAGGTTGTTTTGATTTAAAGAATGTTTTAAATCGCTAGTCAGTAAGTCTCCATTTTTGATAGTAGTTGGTCTTTAATATTTGCATCCAGATGAAGAATTTATATTTAGTATAATACTCTGTCAGATAGCTAAAACCGCTATATCGCAACTGATTTTAGTTCGATAGGTTAATTGCTCATATTTGGAGAATTAAGTAAATTGCATTATTTATTATGTATTTCAAATTGTAGTCACTCCGTACAGCCTAAAAAGGAATATTTGCTTATTTCAACTAATTTCTTTTTAGCAACTGTATAAAAATGCAGTGTTGTGCAGTAACAATGACGAATATATATTATTGCTCATGGCACCATAATCTTAAAAAAAAAAAAAAGAAGAAGAATTATGGTGAAATAAGAACAGTTTGCCAACCTGAAAGTTCTGCCTCTTCAAACATGTTCTTTTCATCACAGCTCTTCTCGTGATGTTTAAATCGGGCTAGGTCTTGTATTTCTTTGTTGCCTTTTGCACGAATACCTGCTTTACATATAGGTATATATTCCAAAACTGGAAATTCCTATATATAAATGGGTAAAAATCTTGTACGTCCTGCTGGCATTTTTCTCTTCAAGGGAGGGAATAAAGAACTTCAAGCTATATGTACAAAGATCCCAAGGTTTGTAAGCTGCTCCTGTTTTACTCTTCCCTCCTCACACTTAGTGTTTCACTTCACTTCAATGTTGAAGCCTAGCACTTAACCTGTTAACTCTATTACAGCATGCTTTGCCATCCTGCGACAGGCTTAAATGCTATTCGGTTGGCGCAGCACACTCCTTGCGTTTTAGCCCTACCCATGCTAAATATTGCGCTCGGGGGGTCTTGACTGGCACCCCAGGCAGTCCCGCTGCAGCCAATCGCGGCCATCTGCAGTCAGTCATTGCGGTGAAAGCCTGTCATTGTGATTACTGTTATAATGTCTCAGCCGATGATTTGTAACATTGGCTAAGACATTCTCTGTCCTCTCTTCTCCTGACTTTGATCTGAGGCAGGGGAAGCAGAGAGATCATTGCCTATGATCAGTCTGATTAGGGTGATTAGTACCTTGGTACTAGATATAGATAGATAGATAGATAGATATATTTATATTATTTTTTTAAGGTACTGTATTGGTGATCAATGTATTCAGATGACTCTCAAGCTGGGATTTTTTTGAGGATTATTTTTATTTAAAAAAAACAAACCTTTTTTGTACTGAGCGCAGCTGTTTAATTTGCGGTCAGTAATTCTATTAAAATTTTGGGGTTGTGAGTTTTGGTTTTTTTTGGGTGGAAGTGGTAATTGGGGAATGGATGTGGCTAGAGTGTATTAGTCAGGTAGGCAAATAAATAAAATTATCCTCTTGGTTAAATACAATTCGTCCCCCTAAAAGGGCACGCTACTATACGACGGAGGAGGCGTTCGCCATTCTGGCAGTCTGTGATACTGACACTCACACAGTGACACTATGACAACCTCTGACATTGAGCTCCTAAGTTAGTCCTCTAGTGATGGTGCCATACCACCATCTACAAGAAGGCACTTGGGGCCAGAGGAAACACGAGTACCCCCAAACCCGACTGTCCAAGAAATAACGCTATTCACGGCTACACCTGGCATCATAGAAACTGTAGTTGCTTGTGAGCCAGTGAATTACTTTGGCCTCTTTATGTCAGACAACATGGTATAAGAGCCAAGTATCAAGTCCTATTGGCACAAGCACCTCATCCTGGCTACCTCTCTTTTCCCAGGGTTTTTGAAGAAGGATTGCTACGAGCACATGCTGCAATTCCTCCATTTTACCCATTATGTACTGTGTCCTCCTAGAAAAGACCCATTGTTTGACAGGCTTTACAAAATTTGTCCCCTTAGCCAACTCCAGTCTGACAAATTTTCCCAAAATTATATCCCAGACCAAAAGATTTGTATAGACGAATCTCTGATGAAATATAAAGGTAGAGTGCTTTTCACAAAATATATCCCATCAAATCGGTCACAATGCGGCGTCAAATTTTATGTATCATGGAAACCCACTACTGGTTAATGCATGGGCATTTCGGATTTATCAAGGGAAATATAGCCTTCTTAACCCACCAGATTGTGTTCTCTGATCCTTCCCTTGTTAAATAAGCTATGACAACCTCTGACATTGAGCCCCCAAGTGAATCCTCTAGTGACGGTGCCCCACAACCATCTACAAGAAGGTGCTTAGGATACCCATTGCCAGAGGATACTCAAGTAATTTATTTAAAATGTTATTTTGTTTCGAAACCCGAGCTTGCGGCATAGTGCGTAAAAATCACAGATGTTTTCCCCAAACTGACAAGTGGCAGAAGGAGTACATGCTCCTTTTTAGCTATGCCAGGATGAGGTGCTGGCCTTTCAACTCACAGATAAGAAAGATGTATACATGCTGTTTGCAATGCACAACGAAAGTACAGTGCCAGTGACTGTCTGTCTGAGGAAGAACTGAGCAGCTGGAAAAACCAAAATGCATTGTAGACTAGAATATGGGGGGAGTAGACTTGGCTGATCACTGTACAGAGAGCCTTATTTAGTGAAAAAGTAGGACCTGGTACAAAAAAAATTGCAATCTATCTAAGCCAGATTGAACTTTTTAATTCATATTTGCTGTAAAGAAAAGCAGCTATAGATAAGCCATACACCTTTCTTGAATTTATGTTGAAACTTTTGTCCAACTATTTTATTTACCCAGTCCCCCAAACCTTACTCTTTGGAATCCAAAGATGTCCAAAGACTTTGTGGTAAGCACGTTCATGCCTGAATCCTACCACCCTGTAAAAAGTCACCCCAGAGAGTTTTGTGTTTTCTACAAGAAAGGAGTCGAGAGGACTCCAGTTATTACTGCCCTTCCTGTCCATCTCTACCTGCCCTTAGTATAACAGACTGTTTCAAAGTCTACCATGCAGAGCAGGACTATGGAATCGCTCTGTATGGGACATGGTCAGTTTTTTTACTTTTCGGGATTTCTGACCTCACCTTGTCCTGATTACTCTTTCTTAGCTGCCTGTACCGACTTATTGGCTTGTTTCACCCTGCTGTCCAGGCCTGCTATTTATGCAAACGAGGGCTTCAGTGTTTGGATGCTTAGAGTTTCAGTCTGACCAAATTTGAAACCTTGGACGAAATGTGTTTGCAACACACAGACAATATTGTGACTCTGTGGTTGAAAGTGAAAGCTGCATTTGCATCTTTACCTTCCAAGGAAATAGCAACATTTATTTCCAAACCCTACAACAGCACAGATAATTATTAATGATCTGTCTGAATGCAGGTTATCATTTAAAATATTCTTGCTTAAAGGGGGACACTGTAGTACCTGTAACCTTTTCATCTTTTTGAATTGGCTATAGTACCTGGAGTCTCCAGGCACTGTCCTATTCAGTGTTATACCATGTGGGTGGCAGGTCCCTGGCCACCCACAGTCTGGCCCATTCTGGAGGTGTGACTAAGACAGAGATTACTCACTTCCTTGTAGTTATACCCGTCATAACGTTAGTTGGAGCTCTGATAGGTTAAAGCAGTTAGCTGGCACTCTTAGCCAATCACAGCTGCCCATTGATGCTCATGCTAATACTTCCTCATTAGCCAAAGCAGATCACTGCTTAATGTTGAATTAAATAATGCCACCAGGAGATTCAAGACACGATAGCTAGTTTAATGAGATAAAGCCGGTACAGTGCCTACAGTGTCCCTTTATCTCCTTAGCGATGGTGTGCATTCTTTGCCGTCCTTAAGGTGGCAGTCCTAAACGCAGCAGGGCGGCAGAGAAGATCTCCGCCAGTGGTCGAAATCCTGGGGAATGTCTGAGAGCCCAGGCAGTCCCCCTCTAGGAGATTCAGCCCTCTCTGGTCACGTGATCGCGTGGTCCTCATGATGACATGGCTTTCTGCAGCTCTCCCTGGAATATCAGGCAGTCCCCACTATGCCTGTTAAAAAGTTCTAAAACCGTTTATTATTTCAATAAATATTACTTAAAAATTTTTTTTATATATATATAATTTTTTTTTAAAGTAATATTCATTGAAATAATAAACCAAATAATATTTTATTTTATCTAATACATATACATATATATATATGTATATGTATTAGATAAAATAAAATATACATGTGTAATTTCGTTTTAACTATATTTTGCTATTACTATATATATCTATATAGATAGATATCAAAATACACTTAGAATGACATTACAAAAGAGTCAAATATAAGGTTTGCATTTCAGTTTTTTTACATTGAAATTTGCCAGATTGGCTATGGTGCTTTTCTATACTGAAGTATACCTGGTGGTGCAAGGACAAGTGCGATCAGCTGACATTCAGCCAATCAGAGAGCCATGCACTGCCGAGCTTTGGCTCAGGAGAGCTAACATAAAGCAATAGCTTCCAGCTCTCACATACGCCTGCAGATCAGCACCCAGTGGAACCCCAAGTTTAAAACTGCTGAATGATAATAAAAATCCCAATATGCTACATGCCGTTTTCAGTGCACAGTAGATTTCTGGTAACATGCCACTTTAAAGATTTATTGTAAATCTCTAAATTAAGTGAATCGTATGCTTAGAGCAAGATGCAAAACCATTTCATGAGAATTTGGAGACAAAGCGAATTTCTGCTAAATTTCTGCATACACAATAAGCAGCTTATATGGAATATGATACCTACTTGCGTTAAGGTTGATCTCTTTGAAATGTAGTCATAATCTGACTCCTGTGGTGTATGCTAAGTGGCAGAGAGTTTTGAGGTCAAGCATTTGAGAAAGAGTTTATTTTATGCACTTAAAAGTACTGCACATTATTAATCATCCTTTTTATTTTCTTCTAGGTTTATCAGTCCTGGCTAGACAAATCTACCCCTTATACATCTGTGCGATGGTTGATGACTCTTGGGCTAAGTTTACTATATATGATAAGGGTGTATATACTACAGGTAAGTTGTTGTTTGTTTGTTTGTTTGTTTTGTAGGTACAGTTTCCTTTGTCCTAGTGTAGCTTTTTTTTCCAACATGCTGATGTTTAAAAAAGGTAAATGATACTATATATAAACTATAAACATTTATATCCTGGCATTTAAAAAATAATCAATCAGACGATGTAGAGAAATGGTTTACTGGTGGCCTTAAAATAATGTTCCTTTGCAATGAAATCCGATAAATGTGGTATTGGCTTGAAGAAGAAAGAAAAAAACATTTCAAGAGGAAGTAATTATGGTGGTGGGGGTATTAAGATGCTGTGATCAGGAAAGTGGTGCAAATAGACGGATCACCAAAGATTATACCTGCGTATTGCACTCTGTCCCACAGAGACTGGCCATGTTGCAGCACTTTTCTGATTATGGTACTTTGATAAATCTCACATGTTGTGTTTCAGGAACCAGGGAAACAACAAGTACAAAACGTGCAGTCTGATAGTAGCATTGTGCAAAACTCATCCTGACTTTTTTGCATGGTGCTAGATACTTGACTGCTGCAGAAAAGCAGTGTCTGCACCTTAGATACAAAGCCTTTCTTTTTCACAAGGAAGTGGTTAGCACTTAGAAGGCAATGTGCTGGTTAACAAGCATATCCCCTAAATGCCAGACCAGCTTTTTCTCAGACATGCAAATGAGAAGAGCAGCAGGTATTTATGGGATCTTTGCAGCAATATCAGAAAGCTTAAATCTAGCTGCACATCTCATGCACCCAACTCCATGATATCCCTAAAGACTTGTTTCTTTACATTAGAAGCATCAATATTAAAGGGAAGCCACAGTGGTTAAGATTCTGCAGATATTGTTTTATTTCTTTAAAGTTTCTGTTAATCAATAGTGCAGATATTTTCCATCCCAGTGTAGGACTGAATTTTATATTCTTTTACACACTTTTTATTGTTTTTAATGCCATTTTCTTGCTCACCATTTGATTTAACAAGGTATTTGTGTAGCCTGTCTTAAATTGCATATATTTAGATTACATTGATTCATTTTCATCCACCGTACTATTGCCAGTCAGATACAGTAGTTTTGTTGCATTGCTCAAACTATTTTTCTAGACTGTATGAATGTTCTTTATTGTTGATTTAGCTATTCATGTATTTGAGGTATGTCACGACGGCTGAAGTTTTATTTTTGAAAACTGCTAATTCTTTTAATATATCTTTCTTTCCTTATATTGAAGGTCAAGAATAAGAAAATAAAATAAATATATTAAAGATTAGCTGTCACTTGTTCACAAGTTCCCAATTGATACTTTTTATTTCTGAACTGGCAAGGCATTTAAATTAAATCCTGCAGCGCTGTGCATGCATCACATGAACACTTATGAAAGAATGCAATTCCTGGCATCTTTCGTTAGCTGCCAAGTTGTGCTTGAGGCATCATGGGTCGGCAAAATCGCTCTAAACATGGAACTGCTGCAAAGTGATATTTTTTATTATTGCCATTACTGCATTGTTCATTTTCAGCAACAAAAATAAAATTCTTAAAGGGACACTGTAGTCACCAGAACCACTACAGCTTAACTTATTCTGGTGTCTGTAACCTGCAGGCTTTTCAATGTAAAGACTGCCTTTTCAGAGAAAAAGTGTTAACATTGCTGCCTAGTAACACCTTTACTGGCAGTCACTCTGTGAATAAATGTAGTACCAATACTTCACCCCTTGGGAGATCATAGTCAGACAGTTAGATAGTAACTGAGAAGGATATGACACACAGGCTCGACCAAAATAAAATCAAACGGGCTGAGGAGCTGTGTCCCTGAGAGGTTGTAACCTGCACGAGCCATGGACAACAGGCTAAACCAAGCAACGAGTATCCCTACTTATTCGTTAGCCTTTTGGGATGTTAATCCATTATCTGATGCACATAAGTGAGTAGAAAAATAAGTGAAGTGAAAAAAACACCAACTGAACGTGCGTTTCACCCACTACGTTGGGATCATCTGGAGGTGAAATGCGCATAGTGTGTGTTCTTTCACTTTTTCTCTACTCCCTTATGTGTATCAGATATTGGTGTATTTACTTATTTTTAGTATATTTGCATCTTTTTTTCTTTTTGATATAGATTTTTTTCATATAGAAGGGCTTAAACTCCATGGTTGAGTGGACAAGGGAATTAGACTCTAGGAACTCTTTGCTTATGGCAGTGCTAGTAACTTATTATACAGAGATCCTCTGTCTAGAGCTGACCATTCTCCAACCAGGATACTCAGTTTATGGAGTTTTCTCCAGGGATGTGAGATGTTCTGCTGTGGACTCATCTTATAATATAGGCTGTAAGCACTCACAACCATGGCAAACCACATAGAAGAGATGCAGAAAAGTGGGTTTTGTAGAATCAATCCAATTTATTAAAGTTCTAAAAATGTATAAACGGCTTAAAAAAAAAATGTAAATTCCATTGAGGAAACAATAAGGCACCCTGGAGAGGTAAAAAAAAGTGTAGTTTTCACATCCAACCATGTGGCTAATGAATATTATCTCCACCTTTCCTGGTACCTAACTCAGCCTGACACGCGTTTCGCACAAACAGTGCTTCCTCCAGTCGAGATTAGCTTTATTTGCACACAGCCTGAATATATATCAAGTTCTTCATGGTTGACTGCTGTTGAAAACCTGATTCGCATACGAAATGAGGCAGATTGTGATTTCACAATAATTGTATAATTGATTTCTAGGTGTGCACATAAAACAGAATCTCATTATAAGCAAATCACTTGGTCAAATAACAATCACTTTGCAATAAAAGGCAATATAGCATTTGAAAATGCAATGTATGTTAGTAAAACAAAAACAAACCCATATATCAGGGATAAGATGTCCATATCACTTAAAGATCATGTGGCGGACCTGGCATCAGTCCCTGGGGTTGCCCGAACCCATATTACCGTAAGTTCTCACAAACAAATCTGTATCCCCCTATTAACTTAGAACACTGACCACCCCTGGCTGTTAACCGCAGTTAAGGAATACTTGAGTGCTTTCCCTGGACCATTTTGTCTGCCGAACGCAGACAGCGGTATTTGGTCGTCGAGTGTGTGGAACTGATTTCGGCTACACATTCTCGCGAACCCTGGTCAAAATGGTACTGCTGCCTGTATACTTTCCCGAACAACTACACAAACCACAAGACCGGCTACAGCATTGGATGCTCTGGAACTCTTTTGGAGCATCACCTCGTGGCCGGCCAGTGAAATCTTCTCCCGAATAGCGATCTCGTCCAACCGAACCAATCTGAGCCCTTTTCGGATATGTTGTGCGCTCAGATTCAGGCTATTCGGGGATATAAGAATTGTGGGGTTCCTGTACGGTTTTAATATGTTTTTTGGGTGTTTTATAAAAAGTATATATTTTATGTAACTGAGAGATAATTAAAAGGACACTATAATCACCCAGACCATTTCAGCTCAAGTAAGTGGTCTGGGTGCAATGTGCAGGTTTTAACCCTTCAGATGCAAACATAGCAGTTTCAGAGAAACTGCTATGTTTACATTGCAGGGTTAAGACAGCCTCTAGTGGCATTTTATGCCTCCATCACGTAGAGCGTCCATAGGAAAGCATTGGAAATGCTTTCCTATTGACAGCTTGAATACGCGCGCGGCACTGGCCACGCATGCGCATTCGGCTCCGCTGGAGTTGGCAGAGGGAGCTGACAGCGGAGGAGAGGTCACCAGCGCCGAGTGCTGGAATAAGGGAAGCTTCTGAAGGGGGACCCTGAAGGTTTGTTTTCCTGACACTATAGTGATCCTTTAAGGTATCTAAAATTCCCAGCCCAATTATCTCTAAGTGCATCTTGAGAAAATTCCCTGTAAACTTGTCCTGGAGACCTCATACTATGGGGCTTTGCATAAAAAGCCGTGTGTGGGCTAATAAAAATCTGTAGACTCCCAGAACTGTGTGTCGTCCAGTTACTGGGGGAATGGGCGATATCTACTAACAAGCTCATCTCTTCCAGCTCCAGAGGATCCCAGTGGAGATACTCAGTCTCAGCATTGCAGCTCTGCTACAGATCAAACTAAAATAATACATATACCTGCTCTATATGGAAAAAAATACACCAATATAAAAGTTCATGACTCTAAAGAAAACAAGTGAATTTGGCAGCACTACTCCATGTAAAAACCACAAATAAATATTGAATTAAAATAAATATAATGAACATTTTGAAAAACAGCCCTATTTATACAAAAACAAATGAGCTATGGATACAGACACAACTCTTAAAGAGATAAGTCTTAACACAAACAGCATTTATTTATATGAAGGGCAGCAAAAAGCAACAGATAAAGTGTGTATGATCCCTATTCAAATAAGGGGCAATAAAAAAAAAATGTCAGTGCAAGTGATCGAAGTATATAAACCTATTAATAAAAAAGGGACCGCAATCTCCATGTAGAAAAAAAAAAGGGAAAATTTTACACAAAAAACAAAATTAGCATTAAGGAATCTAATTTAAAAATCCAACACCTATCCTATTGACCTAGCCTGTTTGGAAAAGCATCCCCCTCCAATTTCTCCTAAGTTTGTCTATTCTTGTAAAACTTGTATGTTTAAGGTTGCTATTGTAGAAATGTTGGAAATGTACAGGGACCCTGAGTCTGGAGCCCATTTCTAACCATTGTACCATTATTGTGCAACCACAATCTGCCTCATTATGTATGCAAATCAGGTTTGCAACAGCAGCCACTGATAAAGGATTTAATGATGTATATTCAGGCAAGCACATCTCGATTGATGGAAAAATGATTGGTGCGAAACGCGTCTCGGGCTAAGTCATTTAATTGGCCAGTTATTTATTAGCCCATAAATATTTTTTGTTCCCAATTAATATAAACATATAATTTTCTTCTTTTTTTTTCCGCAGGGTTGGTACATAGTGACGTATGCCTTGGGTATATACCATCTAAATCTCTTCATAGCATTCTTATCTCCGAAAGTAGATCCATCCTTAATGGAAGACTCAGGTATGACCACACTGTTTTGTGTACTAGATTGGAATACCCCACCCCCCCAGAGTTAAACATATATCCGTTAGGGGCCTCTTATCATGTAACCTTATCTTTAGCGTCTAATTAAGTTCTGTGACGTAGTCTATTGTACCAGCATTCTCCACCACCATTCGCTTAGATATTGGTACAGCATCTAAATTGCATCCACTACAGCCTTCGCTTTTATAAAATGTACATGTGACCTTTTATAAAATGTCGGGGTTTCTGAGGTTTTTGACTAAATGTGTTCATTAAAAAAAGATTATGGGAAAAGCTACATGTATAGCTATAGGCAATTAACTCCGCTAAGTGTTCCATTTTCTACATTACTGCTTATGCTGGTTTACAGAACAGTTCCACACGTCATTTAATTAATTCACTTACTGCTGAGTGACGAGATACTTACTCCGCAGCAGCAGGGACTTATGGGAAACCTACATTTTACACTGAAGGCAATGTTAGAGCTAGTATTAGGTGCTAAAGCTCAGCCTTTTTCTGGTCCCTAAACCACCTACAGATTTACAAAATTTCTAACTGTTTTGTGTATTTTAATGTATGTGTTTTAGTTGCACTTTTTCAGTACTCCACTGAGATTTTTAAGAGTATATCATGACATATTTTGTTGTATTGGTACAGATGAGGGGCCATCATTACCCACTAAGCAAAATGAAGAATTTCGCCCTTTTATTAGAAGATTACCGGAGTTTAAATTTTGGTGAGTAAATCACATATGTAGTTATATTCGAAAATGATTTTGAAATGAGATTTCACATATCTGTTTCTGTTGTGGAGTCAAGATTAGACAACAAACTCCACCTCCAGTGGCATCAATTGCCCTGTCTGGAATAAGAGTTCTGGGAAGGCTAATGCCAATATTGTGCATATTTGAAGTCTGTCACCAGCACATACAGCATACTGGCGACAACCAATGGCAGCATGATTTCCCCTCCATGCTGCCCAAGTACTGGAAAACTTGGCCTTGGCTTGTGACTACAGGTACATTTTAACTTTATTTTTTTTAATGGGGGACCATGCCACCATTGCTTATTACAACCGAAAAGAGTGTTATGATAACAGTTTTTAGTTAGACTAGCCCTTTAACTTTTTAACTTGCTTTCTGTAAGTCATTTCAAACCGCTATAATCATGTTAAACCTATTCCACAAAAGCTGGATTACTGCAGGTTATCAATCACCAGTTTTGAGTTACTATCTTAATGTATTTCGCTAGCAAAGATCCATTTTAGTTTTACGTTGAAGAACGTGTTACTGACCTACCATAAATCTGCTTTTCTCTTTGCTTTTAAGGCACTCTGCTACTAAAGGTATCGTCGTTGCCATGGGATGCACTTTCTTTGAAGCTTTCAACGTGCCCGTATTTTGGCCCATTCTTGTCATGTATTTTATAATGCTTTTCTGTATCACCATGAAGAGACAAATCAAGGTGAGGAACGTACACTTGACAGGGCTGTTCTTAATGGTAGGATGTTAAATGACAGACAGAGGCAGCTCCATTCTATTTGTTATCATAAAACCCAAGTAATAAGGAGAGTGCATTTCTGAGCCTCCAGCACTGAAAATATTAGGGTGATGTTCTGTACTACGGGGATTTTAAAAGGCAGCAATGCTTATTATTAAGGCCTTGCTGTCATAACTGCCTTTTCAAATTTCCTACATTGTAAATTAGTCCCTTGATCTATAGCTTGAACTATTCAAACAGAAAATCTCCAGCTGTTGGCAAACTACAATCTGATGACCCTTTAAAAGCCAATTGCTGCATCGTTGACTTGGGAAGGTTCATGGGAGTGTATAAGTTACTAATAACTGGATGTGTAGTATTTGAGTACATGGGGCAATCATGGCTAATCAAAGCATATGTTTGATTTACAAACCTCTACAAGGCAATATTATCCATGATTGACCTGGGATCTGTAGCAGTGGTTGACCAGTCTTGACCCTCCAGCTGTTTGACCACATTACGACAGCTACGACTGGCAGAAGGATTCCAGGAATATAGTCTAAGAGAAACCAGTAGGTCACAATAAATGTTGTTGCTGGAATCTGATCCTTTTTTTTTTTTTTTTTATCATCTTTTCCAGCACATGATTAAATACAGATATATTCCATTCACACATGGCAAAAGGAAGTACAAAGGCAAAGAAGAAACCGGGAAGCCCTTCTCCAGTTAAAAGAAACTTATTGCCCTTTTTGACTTTCTTATGTAAAAAATTAAACCAACAAAAAAAAAAGGAAAAAAAAATTGTTTTTGAGCCATTGTAACAATGCCTTTTGTCAACACAGGTACAGGTGATTTTAAAAAACTGGTAGTGCTTTATTCTTATGTTTTTTTTTTTGTTTTGTTTTTTTTATTTCTTTTCTTATCATACGTTTCCTCTGTTGGGAGATCTAAGCAGTCCTCTGCGAACACCATAAATAGGACTGTTCATCTAATTGACGTTTGAGTTTATTTGCACATTAAAATTGGGCAGCTGAGTTCGTACAGGTTTCTGATGCTAATTCTGCTTCATTTACATGTCAGAATCTAGCAAACACAGAATACAGATTTAAAACACTCGCCTTTTCTTTTGTTCCATAATACATTTTTTGCATTGCATACATTTTGATTGAAGCCGCCCCCAAATCATAAACTGTTCCTCGGTGACTTAATATTAACCCCCATTGTGCTTTCTAAAGTTTGCAAAGAGGAAGGGTGACCTTTTAAACTAATACAACACTGTGTATGCAAAGTTTAATTTCCTAAATGACAATTTGTGATTAAGTGACAACCAACTTGCAAAATGTAGGCTTGATATTTTTCCATTATCCATTGCTTTGGCCTCAGTTTAGTAAACTGGTTGTCCATTAAGCCCAACATATTGTTATAATGAATAAATCATATAATGTAATGCTGGTGTACATTCTAGCAGACTATGAAATGTTCAATGCATGTGTTGGACACACATTTTAAAGAAACTATCTTTGGATTTAGGCCAAGTCAAGTAATAATGTGCATTGAGTCTGGTGCACACTATTCATATGCCAGTAATCAGATTGTTTAAAATAAATATTAAAACAAAAAACACTACCAACCTGAACTTTCATTAAATTCTTATTTAAATGCCATTGGAGCCATATTTTTTATTTTATTTTTTTAATTTTTTGAATGTCACTAAGGATGTTTCCCCATCACATGATTTAACTGCATTATCAAGTAGACAACCCTATACAATAATATATATATATATATATATATATATATATATATATATATTATTATTATTATTTTTTTTTTTTAATAAAGGGACACTATAGTCACCAAAACAACTTTAGCTTAATGCAGCTGTTTTGGTGTATAGATCATGCCCCTGCAGCCTCACTGCTCAATTCTCTGCCATTTAGGAGTTAAATCCCTTTGTTTATGAACCCTAGTCACACTTCCCTGCACGTGACTTGCACATCCTTCCTAAACACTTCCTGTAAAGAGTCATCTAAAGTGTATCCTTCCTTTATTGCAAGTTCTGTTTAATTTAGATTTTCTTATCCCCTGCTATGTTAATAGCTCGCTAGACCCTGCAAGAGCCTCTTGTATGTGATTAAAGTTCCATTTACAGAGCAAGAGATAAAATTGTTTATGGTGAATTACATCTTATTGAAAGTGAAACCAGTTTTTTTTTTTTTTCATGCAGGCTGTGTCAATCAGAGTCAGGGGAGGTGTGACAAGGGCCGCATAAACAAAAAAAAAGTGATTTAACTCCTAAATGGCAGTGAATTGAGCAGTAAAATAGAGAGGCATGATCTATACACTAAAACTGCTTCATTAAGCTAAAGTTGTTTAGGTGACTATATTGTCCCTTTAATACAAAACATATACCAGTGTATTTTGGCTAGTGATTATGTTTTTATCACCATGATTCAAACAAATAAGGTATGCTGTGTCTTTAAATCAATTCTACATATATGTGACTTGATTAAAACAATAAATAATTCTATAACACACGTCCAATAAAGTGCTTTGTGCGAACGTGATCACCACTAATCCTTGTGATTAAACGCTTAGATAAGCAGTCTGATTAACATCTGTTTCTGATAAAATTCCACTCCTGATGGTAAAACACAGATTTTTTTATATGTATGATGGCATACCTATTATTGTCTCTGTATATTTTCATATAGGTGTAATAAGTACAAGTATGTATTTGTTTATAATGTCTGACCAAGAGGTGTTCGATTTGGTTAACCTGTATAGATTTTATATCAGAAGGATGGACTTTAGTATAAGCACGCCTTTTTAGGGTGGTCCGAGTGGTATAAATAGGAAGATACTGTACTGTGTGTGATTTGATGAGGCCACAGGAGTGGTGAAATGAGTCATCACGCACATATCAGGATGCCTCACCTTCCACCCCCAACGAAGCAGGACGAGCAATTTGGAAGTGTTCGGGTGCCGTATACAGACTATATAGATTCTTTCTGACTGAAGCCAAGAACTTTTATCAGATAGGCAATAGAAGAGTAGTCTACTGCTTGCGCATTTTAACCAATTAATAAAGTCGTCTTCAAGTCATCTATCGCTTCTGTTTGTTGTATGGGGTACCACCAAACCTGGACTAATACATTTGGAGCCTGTACAGTTTGAGCATTGAAAGATTTCCTTATTCCCGTAGGTGTATATATATATTTTTTTTAATTTCTTTTTCTTTTTACGTGTATGTGCGATTATTATAGAGGCCACTGCTTTACATAAGTGTTTAATCACAAGGATTTGTGGCGATCACGTTAGCTCAAAGCACTCTATTGGACACTTTTTTTTGTGTCTAACGAATTATTCACAGTTTTAACAAAGTCACAAATAGTTATTGATTTAAAGAAACAGCGCACCTTATCGGGTTAATCAGTATAATATATTTAGTGTTTTGGGTTATTACACTAATTAGGTTGCTACTATTGAAAAAAAATTTAACAACGCAGTTTTATCACTTTCTATTGGTTTCATTATGTTTTATCACCATGTTTCAACAGCACAATGGTATGCTTGTCCTTTAAGATTGTATGTAGGTTTAACTTGCTGTGTGCCAGAGGGTTGTGCAAATGAGTTAATATTTTTAATCCTCTAGAGGACGTAGGATTATGGGTATTGTAGTTTATAAGTAGCTTGATGGCTGCAGGATTACCAGGTCTGCTTTGTTAACCTGATGTGTAGATGATCATGAGAATGTTATATGGAGCAACAGGACCTTATCTAGCAATTGCTAAATTAGAGCTTTCAGTTAGATAAAGACTGGCTTAAGCCTTAACTGGAAGATCTCAAGTTAGACCAGTGATGGTACATAAAATGAATGTGATCTCCACATTTTAACAACCAACTGCCTACAAAAAATGTAGATCAATGTATGTTTATAACCAATAGTTTATCTTTTCCTAGACCTGTTATACATATACCTGTATCAGTTTGTCTCAAGTACCATTTAGTATATAGCTCACATGCTGACATGTCTAATATCTACATTAGCTAGTAATTTATTAAATGCTGCGCTATCCAAACTTTATTTCTTATGTTTTAGCACTTTAAAGTACACCCTTGCTTTGGTTTTTGAAAGAGACACAGTATTTAAAGGGGCACTGTAAACACCATAACTACTACAGTTCATGGTAGCAATTAAAGGAACACTCTACACACACAGCAGCTGGCCAGTCATATTTATGGCAGTTTATGAAAGTGCTGATTTCAATAGAAATCTAAATTTTTATAATTGGGCTAGAAACACCTCCATGGCTGTCAAACGGCGTGCGCCTGCCTTTCGCTCTTCCCAGTGAGCTGTATTACAGCTTATTGAGGCGTATTGGAAAGCCGCGATTGCTCACTGAGAAGCCTCTGATTGGATTATTCCCTACTGGGGAAAAAAGAGTTGACTTGCAAAGTCTGCATCTGAGAGCTGCACGTTTTGCAAGCTGTTTTTAGATAAACATCCAATGGAAAAATAAATGCATGTGTGTTTTCATTGGGGGTTTATCGACTAAAGAGGGATTTAAAAAAATATGGGGTAATGGAGTGTTTCTTTTAAGTTGTAAAGCAGGGCTGTCCAACCTGCGGCCCCCCAGATGTTGCTGAACTACAACTCCCATGATTCTTTCAATTCAAAAGATAGCCAGGGAATCATGGGAGTTATAGTTCAGCACCATCTGGCGGGAGGAGGGTTGGACAGCCCTGTTGTAAATTGTCTCTAAGTGCAATCCCCATGTGTAAATTGGACTGATTTAAAAAAAAAAAAAAAAAAAATGTATTTCCCAGTTTCCACAGCCTGGCCATTCTGCTGCTGTTCATTTAATCGTCCGTTGATCTTTTGCCTTAGCCCATTTAACTGCGGATGGCATCAGTGGAGCATGTTGGCTGTGATGTTAGTATGTTGAGGGGAGGATTGGCCCACAACTCATAGCCAATAAGTTAACTGAGCATCAGCAGAAGTGCCAGGCTTTAGGGAATCTTGTTTTGTTTTTTACACAGGTCAGAGGAATGGCGACCCCGGGCTTATTACTCATCAGCATGAGCTGTATAGGATATGGAGTTTAGAGTGCCCCTTTAACATGCTGTTTCAGATACTGCAAGGCAATGTTTGATGGACAAACCTAAATAAAGCTCCTCCACCTAGTATATATTGCAAGAATAAATAGGGAGCCCTTACATTTTCAATGTCTCTTTAAACATCAACATATGTGATCATCAACAATGTGAACAATTATTTATTCTATAGTATAAATAGGGTAACTTTGGCCACCCATTAAGGCACCTATATTACTTTGCAGGTTTTGGTTTTAAATTCATCTTTTGCCCTTCCATTTTCTTTGTTTTTTTTATTTAACAATTATACATAAGAAAGAATAGGGGCTACTTTATTTTAGGGGTAGCATAATCTTTGGCAATAGGCGAAGCTTATGGGACCTAAAAACTTTTTTGGTCATGTTTTAAAGGAGTATAGATTTTTTTTTTTTGTTTGGTTTTAATGACGTATATGTAAACACTGGAGTCAACAGTGTTTTAAAATACTGTCTGACCAAAGGTGAATGTTTAAAGGATCCAGTCAATACTAGGATAAAAATTGTTTTTACATAATTAAAATAAAATCTATTTTCTTTCAAAACATGATAAAAGGATTATTATAATTTAGAAAAAGAAAAAAAAGTTTCAATGTGACTGTTTGTTCTATTTAATAAAGTCCCATTTTAGTTGCCAAGCTAATTTACCTGCAATTAAGCAGTAGCTATAATTCCCCCAGAAAAGTGCAAACTGCAGATACCCTGCACAGAGGGAAAACAAAATATCAGAGCCCAGATATCGAGATCTGGCGCAAGAAAGAAAGCATATTAAATATAAATAAAGCTACATAGAAAAAGAGGGAGCATAATCTTTAGGATTCAATTGTCTTTCGGAATGGAAAAGTAAAGAATTTTTTTTAAAAAATACTGCCCTTTTAAGATATAGTTTGTTACCCCCATTCCACGCAAAATATTTAAATATGTTCTGGTTTCTGAAGCGTTGTTAGTGCCTTTTATTCTTTGAAAGGGAAAAACTAAAATAGCACCTATAATTTTATGTTGTCATACTGTCCTATTTGATAACAAATGTTGTTTAGTTCTGTACCTCTAATGCTGATGTAGTAAAGCACTGGCCAATGTCTTGTTGGTTTCCTTCCACTTCCATGAGCCTTGCCGGCCACCGATTTGTTTTCAGCTAGAAGTGATTTGTATTGCTCTTACAACTAAAGGCTTGCTTTGAAATTCCCTTCCTCTAATAACTTAGTTTTTTATTCTTCGTAACTGACTGATGGCATACAAATAATTCAGCTTTTATCTTTTCATATAATGGTTCAAAACAATTTTTTTTTTTTTTTTTTAAAGCTACTCTGAATATATATAAATATATATAAATACTTATTTTAATTATTGTTTGGAATTGTTTTTAAACTTATTTTTTTTGGTCTTTTCCCTCCAAATGAATTAAAATGTAAGATTTCAACAGGGTAGGGGCAAAATACGTGTTGGTTTTTCATTACATTATTTGGTTAATTTTTTTTTTGTATACATACTGATACATATGTCTGTTTCTTTGTTTAAATGTAACGCATATATTTAAAGACTAATCTAGGCATTTTGCTGAAGGGGGAGGCTGTTGAGTTATAAAGGTGAAACCTAAATAAGGGAATGATATGGTGTAATAAATTTAGGTCCGGTTTAAAATGTTATGGCTGGATATGACATTTCAGACAAATTGGTTTGGATTTGCATCCTGGGCTAGGTGGTAGCCACAACAAACCTGCATCTGTTAGCTATAAGTCCCATTAACATTAAGTGGTTTGCTTTTTTGATTTGTAATGATTTGAGCATTGTCTGCTAACACCTAAAAGTCCTGTATTTAAATTCTGAAGTCATAGGTGTAAATATTAATGTCCTCCAAAAGAAAAAAAAAATGGTTTGGTCACATGCATGATGGACTTGTGCTACGGCCAGACAGAAGAATGTGAATGCTACAAAGTTCTCTGTTATAAACAATGCCCTACTACTTATGGCACAAAATTTTATATCTCGGGGCCAAAAGGGGCACTCCAGACTCCTAAATCGTTTCAGTTTGCTCAAGTGCTTTATGTGTGAAGAGTGTGTTGCCCCCTCCCCAATAGAAATTGGCACTTTAAAATTAGCTTTGTTAAATCTCCCTCCCCTTCCTGCCCCCACTCTCAAACAGACAACTGGTCCTGTTACTTCCTAGTTGCTTAGCTGAGTAGATCTAAACTGAATAGGCAGGCAGCTGCCCCAGGACACCTGCCTTGCAAAGGCTTTTCATTTAGAAGTCTGTGATTGGACAGCTACAGAAAGTCTAGTCTTGGTTAAAAGGGGAGAGCTTACAAAGGCTGCAGCCAAAATATTTTTTTTCTTATATACTCCCAATGAAAAAAAAAATAATAATCAAATCCGGTTGTATTTTAATTAGGGGTTGTATATATACTAAACAGTGATTTTCATTTTATTATTTGGGCAGTGGGTGTCCATTTAAATAATTTAGGAATAAAGTGAATGCTGGGTGATAAACAAGTCATGCAGCCTATGAGAATAATAGCATTGATCAAATATGAGTTAAATTCTATACAGATTTTATAGATTCACTGTACATTACTGGACACTTCTAAGGATGTTTTATTTAAACTATAATTCAGAAATGCATATACAATTTCATTTACATTATTATAGATCTGGTTTGTTTATGCTACAGGCCAAGTCTGAAAAGCATTCTTTACTTTATACAATAGTGTGAGGGAACCAGGCAAAATGTAAAACAGAATAAAGATTAATAAACAAAGGATTCCAATTCCCACTCAGCGTTCCCGATAAGCACTTTTTATTTTTTTGTAACTAGTCTCACACTGAAACGTTCAATAAACTCGTCATAAAAGCTTTACCCTGCATTTTATGTAGAAACAAACTAATTAATTCAAACTGCAAAATGTGGTTGTTAGAAATGTTGATTTGTTAACCGTTTCACCTCTGGGTCATTCAAAATTATTAGTGGGAACATTATTCCAGTGTATGATTTCCTTTTATAGTAGACCAATGTTATACTTTATCTGGTTTGGGCATTGCATGGATTGCCTTGGCAAAATTTTGTAATGTGTGCATTAATATGTCTAGAAATGGCAGACCATCCATACAATATTTTTTTTTTTTGGTTTGTTTGTTTTTTTTAAAAGATAGAGGTATTTTGATGCTGGATACAGTAAGTTTTTAACAGAATGTTTTGCTGATGCCTTCCCTGTAACATGTACATTTCTGACCATTCACTGAAAAATGTAAGACTTTCCAACAGGTTTCTAAAATAAAACATTGCCAAATTAAATTCTCAAAATTGTATTTTACAGTTCTCGGTGTAATCTGAAAACGAAGCAGATGCAATTACGGCTTTAGTGTTAATTCACTAAAGTAGGAATTCCGACTTCTCAGTTTCGTAAATAAACACTTTGTGTTGTATAGATCAGCGTTGGCTATGATGGCCAGCAGACACGATGCCATGCAGGAAACAGAATTTATCATTACTTCAACCAACATTACCACTTCTGCTTTTAGAAGTGATCATTGTGGTTGGAATCTCTATGTACTTTCTGCTTAGAACACTGCACATACAGACATACTATTTTTTGTGCTGCTGTGGGCTAGTTACACCACCAGCACATGTGGCTTAGTCAACATGTAAGAAAGGGAAGCCTTTATCTCCCCTCCCTCTCTCTCTCAATTGACCCCTGCTTATTTCTAATAATCCCTCCATTTTATTAAATTTTTTTCCTAATTCCCTCCATTGGTTCAGAGCACGCACATGCACTGGGAGGCAGTGAAAACGGTCCAATCAAATGCTTCTTTTTGAGAAGCATTTGATTGAATGTCACAAGGGCAGTGGTTATGTCGGAGCGGGTGCGGAAACCAGCACAGGGAGATCTTTGCCCGGAGCTGGATTCCAGGTACGTTTATTGATTATTTTACCAAGCAAAAAGTTACCAAATTAATTTGGATGTTTCCTAAAAGCAACTTTTGTGAAATTGCAATAAACACATCTTTTTATATTTTAAAAAGGCAACAAGGTATCGGATGAAAATCTGTCTAACACAGAATTTCTATCAGGTTCACTCTGATCTTTTGTAGGAGAAGGCAAATTTGCTAAATTAGTTCACCTGCTTTTTTCTTGAAAGTTTGCTCTGTGGCTGCACAAGCAGAATGATGGCAATTTGAAGAAGGAAAAAAACCCCCAAAAAAACAGAATTCTTCAGATCCCTATTTACCAAGAGGTACAATCCCTTCTATTCTTTGACATAATAGCTGGTGGTGGTGTGAGGTTTAATAAGGCAGTTGGTATTCAGTTACTTGATCATTAACCATTTAAATACTTTCAGTATTGGGATATATTGGACGCTGCCACGGAGCTTCTCAGGAGTTAGCGATCAAAAATCTGCAAATTACAAAGTATTTTGCCAGTGCAACTTATTCCCTTCCTCCACACATTGTGCGCTAACCTTCATGCACAAGGCGAATGAAGAGAAGTTGCTAATCACATGCGGAGCACAAACCTTTTTCTTGTAAAATTGCCACAAATAGCATTCGGGAACAATAATTTTTTTTTTGTAATATTCAAAACTAGTCACACAGCTGCAAAAAAATAAATTAAAAAAATTTAGTTTAGTTTAGTCAAATACCCCCCACCCCCTCCAAAATGTAAAATTTCACTAAAAATAATTTGTGTAATAAGAAATATATTTTGTAAATAACACTGTAAATGTCGGGGAGGAGTAGAAAACGAGCCAGGATACATACATTACTGAGCTTGAGGGGCCATATCTGTATGAAACAGAATTTGGGGAATTTACGAGAAATCTCCTGATAGGAAGACTGAGTGAGTAAGGGGAGATGGCATAACCTAAATGGAAAATGTCTAATGCAAAAACTTTAATATGCAGCAATTTATAATATTTGCTGCAAATCCTATCATCCTAAACTGACACCCATTATAAAATGATGATTTTGAAGTCTGGTGTACTCAAAGTCAAAGTTTATTCCAACCTATGTGCCATGTTAACATAGACAGAAAACTTTTAAAATGTTACACAAACATGTCCTTCAAAAGCACAAATCAACATTAAAACATTATTTTAACGTACATTAAGCATTTCACACAGTAGTATTAATTCAACAAATATTAAATTTGCAAACACAATATAGCAAAACATTAGAAATGTTGATTTTAATTTTTTTACATTCTACTGTCAAAGTGATTTAAAAAAAAAATAATAATTAATACACCGACTTGATATAAAGGTTTGTTTTATTTTAAGAAAAAAAAAACCTAATGGTTCTTTATAAGCATTGAAAAATTGGACAGTTATCACTCATCACTTTTCTTTTTAAATTAATTTATAAATGCCTTAGTATATTATAGGTGTTTCCGCCAATATTAAATCATTCACAACGTACTCTCACACACTGACTAATTTCCTACCTTCAAACTCCAGAGAATAGGTACACTAACTTTTCTGAATAATAGTAGGTAACAAAAGCCTACACGTACTAGGAGATCTCTTACCGTATGATGCAAATTAAAAAAACTCTAAAATATAATATCGAAACCACTTGTAAATGCATGAATTACTAAAATAGTAAAATGTACAAAAATGTCTTGGATTATACAGAACTTGGAATATAAAAAACTGGTTGTAATATACATAAATACACTAGGTGGCAGCCTTGCATAAAAGATTCTTGGTGTAAAGAGGGTCTTCTATTAAACAGCGAAAACACTGAATATAAAAAAGTGGGAAAAAAAAACTTCAGGATTGACTACAATGAAAGTGTAGAAATATATAAAAGTAGATTATCCAAATCAGCTTGATAGTCCAATAAAATCCAAAGCGATGAAAAAATGTCCAGTAAAGTCCATTATAAACTAAAGTTCTGTCAGTGCAACAGTACCAATATCACATCCCACACAGTGTGCTTCTGCTCAATAAAATAAGTCGCAATAAAGTGTCAAGTTGTGAATATAATTTAACCAATGCTGGTATATATCAGTGGAATCTCGGATACCAGCAACAAACTAACAGTTACTAATATACCACCAATACAGGTATATAGTAATACGATCTCTAGATGATCGGCAATGTTCGTAAAAAAGTTCTAAAAGATCCGCCTCGGAAGAAGGGTCTGTGAATGGTCACGAAACGCGTAAGGCATTTTCGGCAATTCCCGTACATCGATACAGCAACCGAGGAACGCAAATCGGGCACACTGAATGGAACGCACGCGAGAGGTGTTTCACCTCCCCTAACGCAGTAAGATCCTTTCACCGGCCGGAGAAAGTTATCCCTCAGATTGCTGACCATCACCCAATTTTCTTACCAACAAAGACTCATTTGCTGGAATACTACACTTCTATTTTGTGAGTGAATTCTGATTTTAATTTCATTTTCAATAAATATGGAATTTTTAATATAAACACTTTGAACTTTTTTTACTAACATTGCCGATCATCTAGAGATCGTATTACTATATACCTGTATTGGTGGTATATTAGTAACTGTTAGTTTGTTGCTGGTATCCGAGATTCCATTGATATATACCAGCACTGGTTAAATTATATTCACAACTTGACACTTTATTGCGACTGTTATTTTATTGAGCAGAAGCACACTGTGTGGGATGTGATATTGGTACTGTTGCACTGACAGAACTTTATCATAGACTTTACTGGACATTATTTCATCGCTTTGGATTTTATTGGACTATCAAACTGATTTGGATAATCTACTTTTATATATTTCTACACTTTCATTGTAGTCAATCCTGAAGTTTTTTCCCCCACTTTTTATATTCAGAGTTTTCGCTGTTTAGTAGAAGACCCTCTTTACACCAAGATACTTTTATGCAAGGCTGCCCCTAGTGTATTTATGTATATTACAACCAGGTTTTTATACATTTTACTATTTTAGTAATTCATGCATTTACAAGTGGTTTCGATATTATATTTTAGAGTTTTTTAATTTGTATTATCCGGTAAGATCTCCTAGTACGTGTAGGCTTTTGTTACCTACTATTATTCATTTATTTCTTTTAGCTTTTATGGGGTCTCTCTTTTACTAGTAGAGATCCCCTGCCTGTCTATTTTTATCCCTTTTCTATCCATTTGTTTCCACTCCTTAGGGTCAGTTTATTCTGCCCACCATCCATACACTAACTTTTCTATTTCATCATTACAGATGTAGTTAAAGCGCTAGTTAAAGGTATAATAAAGAATATTGCAGCTGCCTACAGCGACCTCCTACAGCCAGATTAGAAGGTAGCTGATGCCTCTCAGCTAATTCTATTCCCTTTCAGAGAGCATGAAGCAGAGATTGATGGGGGCTGTAGTTTAGCACTTGACAGCAGAACATGTCAAATGTAAATGCTGCACAAGCTGATATCTTTATTGTTAAATAAATGGAACTATAGATGCGATCATGCAGCAATGTTTTCAGTTTCCTGGAATGCAATATGCTTCATTGAGAAACATTGCAAAGCTATGGGTTTTCCAGACAGAAATTCAACTCTGCTTCATCTATTGCCTGATGCTCAGGACACCGGCAGATTTATTTTCTTTAGCTTTTAGCCCTGCCACAAGCAAGTGGAGCCTATGGAGGATTTGGCCATAGCAAAGAGCATATGGTCTGCACCTCCAGCCTATGCAGACCACAGTAATTGCTTCCTTGCAGTCTGGCGATTAGTAATGAGTCAGAGATCAGACTGGGAGTCTAGACAGCTGCACTCTGAATCACGGAAGGAGCAATTATAGTGGTCTGCACCAGGCATAGGCACAGGCCATATGCACTCACACTTGACCACCAGGACCATAGCACACATTGTGGGTGTGGACGTGTGCTTTGTCTCCCTCCCCCCCCGCCCACCCCCTTTCTGCAGAAATTTCTGCTGGGCATGGGGGTGGGGGCAAAACAGAACACACTTTACACAAGCCACTACAGGACAGCAGAGGAAGAGAGACTAAGAGTGAGACACTTAGGGTTATTCAGTAAAAAGCTAGTTTTCACAAACTAAAGGAACACTATAGTCACTGTATTACCTTAAAATATAACTGTCATTATATTTTAATATAATGACCATTTGATCAAGTTTTGAAAGGAAATTTATTCTTTGCTAAAAGAAGTATACGAAAAAAATAAAATAATGAATGTGATCATTATTGGGTCTGATGTTGTCATTGCACAAGGAATGAAGTAGGGAAGACCATAGTAACTATAAGGAGCTTTTCAAACACCGTCTGACCGAAGACGTATGTATGTATATGGCTGATGGATCACATCATATTCTAATAGTAAGGATGAGTTTCTCATTTTTATTGTTTTACATATACTTAATTTAACCTAGAATCGATTTACTTTCAAAACTTTATGAAAGGATCATTATATTTTAAAAAAAGTTTGGGGTGACTGTTGTCCTTTAGGGGGTTAAACCATGTATGCGTGGTTTATTTCCCAGGTTGTGATGACAGCGGTAAGCTGTAATAGGGGTTGCCTTTAAGGTAATACTGTGCCCAGAATATCCGTGCACCATAAAACCTTAATTAACATTAAGTTGTTATGGTGTGCAAAGCATTCCATTAAATCAATTTATTTTTTACAAAAAACAGAGGTAAAATGTTTTTTCCAGATCAATGTTTGTCCTTCTCAATTTTTTTATAGATTTAATTTAGATTTTAGACAATAACCTGGTCTATGTCTAGGACTCTAGGCAAGGGCCCCCATATAATATGGTCTGTCATGACATGTAGACAGTCCTGTAGATTTTAAGATTTCCACACCCCTGAGAGGCTACTATTTTAGAACAGATCTGTCATGTATTTTGTTGCACAATAAAAATCTTGTTATAGTCTTGATGTATTATTCTATATAATATGTGCCACTATAAAAGTTATGTAAACAGGTACTATTAATTCATATGGGCCTCTCTTTCTGGAAAACTATTGGCTGGTACCTTTGTTATATAACTCCAGTTGTCTGATGCTCAAATTACACACAATGAATGTTAGAATCACTGTATTGTGGAAAAAATATACATGACAAATCTGCTTTAGGAATGCAGGGATATCATCGAAGAGTGTATACAGCTACAAAACTGCAAAGGAAATCTCAAAAATAGAACATTTAAAAAAAAAAAAGAAAATATGCCCATTCATGTAGAACATCAGTAATTCCTTGTTATTGCATGTTTTTTAGTGCAGTAATTTCAATTCAGCTTCAAATATAAACGATATGGCTATTAGCTGAATAAACAAAAAGAGACAAACAAGATGTTTTAAAAAAAAACCAAAAAAAACACCAAACGCGCTGTGACTGTGTTTACGTGTAGTATTAATTTATAGTTCAATATAATTCTGTCAACACGTTAAATTACTGCTATTTGGACCGTAACTCATTATTGTCACCACTTACTCAAATCCTATGTAGACAAATCATTCATGTAAATAAAAGTGAACTTCCACAGTAGCTTTCTTACAACTGGACAGCAAATATACCAAATAGGAACCGCACTCAATTCACATAGGCTACGGGTGTAAAACCAGACCATGGGTCAGCACAATCCCCCCAAACGGAAATTTTAATATTAGAGAAAAAGACCCAGGTACTCCAATAGCTTCAGGCACGTTTATTAGAACAAAACGAACACAGCAATGTTTCAACCCAAAATTGGGTCTTTGTCAAGCTACTTCACACCCAACAATACCGACGTTTTATAGTCAGAAAATAGGATAGGAAGGTGGGTGCCAAAGAGGATTAGCAAATTATTTTTATTTTTCTCATTGAACTAATTTATTGATCATATCTTTCGCTATTTTCTGCCTATAAAAATTTCAGTATTGTTGGGTGTGAAGTAGCTTGACAAAGACCCAAATTTGGGTCGAAACATTGCTGTATTAGATTTGTTCTAATTATTGTGCCTGAAGCTATTGGAGTGCCTGGACCTTTTCTCTATTATTGAACAGCAAATATAGTCTGAGAGTGCTGTGCTAAACAGCTCTAAGCCTACCATTACAATCCAAAGTTGGACTGCTAACGCAGAAGCTCATTTCCGCATTACTCAAGCTGCAGGGGGGCCAGGCTTCAGGCACCTGATCTGTACTAAACCACTTGAAGACAGTTTAACACGAACTGGAGGGACAGCACACAAAGACTCTATGCACATCTACAAAAACACAACTGGTCAAGGAGACAAGAGTGCCTGCTTAAAGGTTCTGAATAATTGTGAATCTGTTGCTACACTGAAATGTATCAAACCACTGAAATGACTATGGAGCTTCAGTTAAAAGTTTGGAGACTGCAAAGGAGAAGACAAACAAAAAAAACCATGGAGCAAAAAACACACTAAGAACACTACCCACTGTGATTGACTTGCAAACTGTGCCCTCAGGTGCAAACCAGTATCACTCTAACCAATCACTACAATCCAGTGTCTCATTGATTTGGAGAGTCACGTGATACTGGTATAGCCATGAACGATGCAAAAACCTTCACAGCCAGAATGAATAGATATGTATCTATTACTGAAATACTCCAGTATTGCAAGACTTTATGGCAATAATATCTTGCAGCAAACGTTTTGTAAACAAACTCATAATTTGGCCAAAGGTAATTTTTCAGAACACACTGAATACAAGACACACATTCTCCTAAAGTCTGAGAAACAAAACTGCATTGGAAGACAGTTCTTGAAGCCCTTGAACTTGTGGCACATTCCAGAAGATCATCGATAATGGCGCAAGTAGACAAGTTTTTGCGGATGAAACTTCTCTCTGCATAATGGACATTCAGCCTGTAGACAAAAGAAGAGAGGGTCTTAAAATGCATGAGTGGTGCAATGACCAGTCCAGTATATAAAGACGAGAAAATAATGTTTGGGTCGCTGAAAAGAGATTTGACAAGGTGTGGTTTGCAGACATCCGCTGTGACGCAAAAAGTCTCAAAGAGGAATACATCAAAAACAGGCCAGGATGTGCAGAGATTTGGTATTTACGGTAATAACATTTGGCCTAACATACTGTATTTATTTGCATTGTCAATTTATTTAGGTTTTGCCTAGAGAGAAAAATAAAGTTTTAAAGATTTCTTCAGCTTTAACTGGCCTTTAAGCCACACCCCCTTATAGAATTTGTTGCCGATTGGCTCCCACTTCACAGTACAAATGGTGGACTGATCTGAACTACTGAAAGCCAACCAGTGTGCAGAACAGAGGAAGAGGACAGCCCAGGGAGACGCACAGTATAATAGAACACGACTGTTCCCTCTTGCTGGCAGCCTTTGATTTTCTGGCTGTCTTGGCTTTGTTCTGAGATCACTGTGCAGGCTTCCTTTTGGTTCCCTGGACAGGTCTCATATACTCTTAAAAGGGTAGATCCATAATCACAATGAATTTCTCATCCCTTTCAGTGTAAACAGCATGTCATATGATTGTGAAGTAGTTATGATAATAGTCCTGTACTGGGAGGCTAAACTGAAATTGCACAGTATTCTTACACATACAATATGTGTTGGGGACTGTACTGTAAGGGATGGGGAGCTCTTTAGATAAAATAGATCCTTCTCCAAATTATAAACGAAAAATGGGATTGGTACTAACTAAAGTGCTTATCCTAATGTTGATCCAGATTATGAGTGTTTATAATCCAAGGTTCAGTAACCACAAAGCAAGATCTTTTTTTCCCTTGGGGCAATCTTTTGGGTCCCTATCATTGGTAGGACAGTGGTAGCGCATCTGTGTATCTTATACATTGACCGGCTCTTGAAACTGATTTGAATGTGGGATTTCTTAAAAAAAAAAAATTGTCACGACTGGCAGCAATTTACAGTTTTAGGAGGGGGTTTTGTTGAAGCAAGGAGGACATGTTGAAAGTGCTGAGAATGTTGACAGTAACATCATGTGCTCCATGCTCATAGAACTGATAGCAGTGAACAAATTATTCTCTCTGAGAATCACTTTTCATTCTAACTGGTCATCAACCCACTTCCTAAAAAGAATACAAGCAAAGGAGCTGCTAAACAGAATTATAAAGTGCAAACAAAAATGGATACATTGGATAAATGTGCACAGGCATAAAAAATAAAAAAAAAATAAAAAAAAAAAAATAAATTTATATTTACCAAGAGTACCCTTTTAAAATCTAACTCTGTTTCTACCCTCAAAGGGAAGAAAAGCACCCATCTCCAGTTCTTCTGAAACCATAGTGTGTTTTTATGAGTCAAATCTTTACTCAATAATACAGGATATATATATCAACATGTTATATAGATACATGCTGTAAAATGTATCTCTGGAGGGAATGGCAAAGCACGTGGGCATGACATTTATTTATTATTGCCATTTATATAGCGCCAACAGATTCCGTAGCGCTTGACAATATTATGAAAGGGGATTTAACTATAAATAGGACAATTACAAATAAACATACAGGAACAATAGGTTGAAGAGGACCCTGCTCAATCGAGCTTACATTCTATAGGAGGTGGGGTGTAAGACACATTAGGACAGGAATGTACAATCAAATAAGGTGGGCTGCCCTTTAGGAGAGGGCAAGAGACGGGTATGTGAGGTAGGGGTTAGTCTTGGAGGCCATAAGCTTTCCTAAAGAGATGGGTTTTAAGGCACTTCTTAAAAGATGCAAGACTAGGGGAGAGTCGGATGGCGGTAGGCAGGCTATTCCATAGGAAGGGAGCCGCCCGCGAGAAGTCCTGCAAGCGCGAGTTGGCCGTACGGGTGCGGACAACGGACAGGAGGTGGTCACGGGCAGAGCGGAGAGACCGAGAAGGGACATACCTGTGGATCTGTGAGGAGATATAAGAGGGGCTAGAGTTGTTCAGTGCTTTATAGGTGTGAGTTAGTGCCTTGAATTGACTCCTATAGCACACAGGAAGCCAATGTAAGGACTGGCAGAGGGGTGAGGTGTGAGAGAACCGACTAGAGAGGAAAATCAGTCTAGCAGCAGCATTCATTACAGACTGTAGGGGTGCAGTACGGCTTTTGGGAAGACCAAGCAGGAGAGGGTTACAATAATCCATGCGTGAAATTATTAGAGCATGGACAAGCTCCTTGGTAGTATCTGGTGCAAGAAAGGGGCGGATGCGGGCTATGTTTTTAAGATGGAATCTACAGGATTTGGCAACATGCTGGATGTGAGGCTCAAAGGTGAGACCAGAGTCAAGTATGACGCCAAGACAGCGCGCTTGCAAGGATGGGCTGATGTTGGTACCACATACTTGAAGGGAGAGCGAAAGAGGAGGATCAGTATTAGGAGGAGGAAAGACAAGGAGCTCAGTTTTTGAGAGATTGAGTTTCAGAAAGCGGGAGGACATCCAGTCAGAGATGGAAGAAAGGCAAGCAGTGACACGTTGCAGGACAGCAGGGGAGAGGTCCGGGGAGGAGAGATATAGCTGGGTGTCATCAGCGTACAGGTGGTAGTGGAAACCAAATGAGGTAATAAGTTTGCCAAGAGAGGCAGTGTAAAGAGAAAATAGAAGGGGACCAAGGACGGAGCCTTGGGGGACTCCAACCGAGACAGGGCGAGGGGAGGAGGTATCATTAGAAAAAGAGACACTGAATGAGCGTTGGGAGAGATAAGAGGAAAACCACGAGAGGACAGAGTCACAGAGACCAAGCGATTGCAGAGTTTGAAGAAGGAGAGCATGATCAACGGTGTCAAAGGCCGCTGAGAGGTCAAGAAGAATTAGTATGGAGTAGTGGCCTTTGGATTTAGCTGCGATTAGGTCGTTAGTAATTTTGATAAGGGCAGTCTCTGTAGAGTGGAGAGGGCGGAAGCCAGATTGAAGGGGGTCAAGGAGAGAGTTGGAATTGCGGAAATGAGACACACGGGTAAAGACGAGTCTTTCCAGAAGCTTTGAGGAAAAAGGGAGCAGGGATATGGGACGGTAGTTAGAGGGGGTGGACGGGTCAAGGGATGGTTTTTTTTAGTATAGGTACTACAGTGACATGTTTAAGGTCAGCAGGGACGATGCCAGAAGAGAGTGAGCAGTTGAAGATGTGTGTTAGAGAAGGCATGAGACAAGAGGAGAGAGATCTGATAAGGTGAGATGGGACAGGATCAAGTGGGCATGTGGTGGGGCGAGAGGAGCAAAGAAGAGCAGCCACCTCTTGGTCAGTGGCTGGGGGAATGTCTGAAGGGTAGGAAAGGCATGATCAATGTGTGGTTGAGAAACAAAAAAGGTAAGGAGGGGAGAATTCTTTCCTTAGCTGTTCAATTTTGTCAGTGAAGTAACATGCAAAGTTATCAGCAGTAAGGTTGGTTTGGGGGGTGGCCACAGCGGGGCGAAGAAGAGAATTAAAGGTGTCAAAGAGACGCCTGGGGTTGCGGGAACATGAACTAATGAGAGAGGAAAAATAGGACTGTTTGGCAAGGGCAAGGGCTGCACTGTATGAACACAGTATGAATCTATAATGGAGAAAGTCTGACTGGGTGCGAGACTTCCTCCAGGAGCGTTCAGCACACCGGGAGCATCTTTGCAGGTAGTGCGTTGATTTAGTATGCCACGGTTGGGGGCGGGTCCTCCTTGAGGTGCTTGTTTGGAGTGGCGCTGCAGTGTTCAAGGCAGATGTAAGAGTAGAGTTATATATGGAGATGGCCAGTGAAGGACAGGATAGGGAAGGGATGGACAGCAGTTGTGAATCAATGTCAGCTGACAACTGTTGGAGATCGAGAGAATTAAGGTCCCTCCTGAGTTGAGGCTGGTTAGGCGGAGGTTGTTGGGTGAGGGGGTACGTGAGAGCAAACGATAAGAGGTGGTGATCAGAACCAACCTTACTGCTGATAACTTTGCATGTTACTTCACTGACAAAATTGAACAGCTAAGGAAAGAATTCTCCCCTCCTTACCTTTCTGTTTCTCAACCACACATTGATCATGCCTTTCCTACCCTTCAGACATTCTCCCCAGCCACTGACCAAGAGGTGGCTGCTCTTCTTTGCTCCTCTCGCCCCACCACATGCCCGCTCGATCCTGTCCCATCTCACCTTATCAGATCTCTCTCCTCTTGTCTCATGCCTTCTCTAACACACATCTTCAACTGCTCACTCTCTTCTGGCATCGTCCCTGCTGACCTTAAACATGCCACTGTAGTACCTATACTAAAAAAAACCATCCCTTGACCCGTCCACCCCCTCTAACTACCGTCCCATATCCCTGCTCCCTTTTTCCTCAAAGCTTCTGGAAAGACTCGTCTTTACCAGTGTGTCTCATTTCCTCAATTCCAACTCTCTCCTTGACCCCCTTCAATCTGGCTTCCGCCCTCTCCACTCTACAGAGACATGAGCTTAAAGACTGTGCAATCATAATTCTGTGAAATCCACAAAAAAAAACTAAACCTAAATAAGATTGTAGGCAAAGGGTTTAAAACATAACATGTATACGAATAGGTCGCCTCTTGTCCTCACCTTAGTGTTACACCACTCAGTGATGCACTCCCAGCAGAACAAGTGGCCACATGGTGTAGCTGTGCTGTGCCTGCGCGCCCCTAAACATAGTGTGCATTTTGAAGGCCGCTGGTATGTCTTTTCATGTGCTGGTGCCCTGTGAAGGATAAGAACCACATTTTCAAAAGAAATAGCGTTTAGGGGAAAAAAAAAGAGCAATTAAAATTACAAATCTCATTAACAGTCTAGGTTAACATCAGGGTAAGTAAATTCAAACAATTTACAAGTTTTTATAGAAGTAGTTTTTACTCAATACACAGCGTACCCCAGCTGTTTGATGAGGTTATCAGTACGCACTGTTAAAAAAAAAAAAAAAAGCAGAAATATGCAATAAGGCTACCCAAAAATTTGGGACAAACACTGCCTTTACTGACTTATCACTTTTATTGCCACTACAACAAGGTACAGTCTTATTCAATTGAAGCAACCATTAAAAGTATCACAAGACAATACTTCTTGTACACCAGGACCACCTGTGCAGACTGTAATAAGTTGATTTATATGTTCCAGGGTGATTGAAATAAGTCTTATGTATACATCTTCTTGGGTTAATTGCAAAACCTTAATATGCATCAGACTAACGGTTTCTCCAGGTTTATTCTTAAAGTTACTGATATATAATAAAACAATGATGTTCAACGGTAGATGTTAATTGCTGAACTCCTGAAGGAGAGTTAGCATCTACAAAGTTAGAGAACAGACAACAGGAACAACCTTGTGGTCCTTTGTCAACTATTCTATATATCTATGACCATAATGACGTCAGACCTTTTGAGTATAACTCTGGCCATGTAAGGACAAAACCCTTTAATTACCACATTCCAGAGTTCTCATGGTACAGCATAGTAAATTACCATCTGTTCTTTTTAACCCATTAGACATCCATACCTACTATGATACAAATAGGAACATAGAATAAGTAATATTCTACACTGATGTCACAGCATATTAGATATCCTATGAAGGCTGCGAGCCCATTCCTATTTATGGCTAACTGCATGAATGTATCTGGCTTGCCTTTGGTAGGACATTCGGCGGTGGAGTTTCAACTTTTGTTGGGCCTCCTGCTTCCGTTGAAAGTTATGTAGCTGAACTCCGAGCAGAAGAGCGAGATGAATCAGGGACACTGCACCAAGAAGGTTGTAACTCTTTTGCACAAGCTGCTCATCTCCAAGTGATCCCCGGATGCGAATCTGTACAAAACAACAAGTACAGATCAATAAAAACAGACATCTAATTTGTCAGTTACCCACGCCATCAGATCTGTTCCATTATATTCCACCTAAAATGCTTGACATACCTTTCCATTGACAGATTAGCACACTAACCTCATAAATGCATGCCTTTGACTTGAAACAAGCACCTAACCATAGGCCACCCTTATATCTATATGTACTCTATAGAACAAACGTTTTCACTTTATTGTTATACATCTGGGTAAGGAGATGCAGAAAGAAGTAGAGTATGGATGGGCTACTCCAATAACTGGAAAGGTTTGTCATCTATAGGACCAGGAGTCAGAGTCCAATGGAGAATCACTACTTAAAGGAACACTAAACACTATAACAATTTCATCTAATTGAAGTTGCTATAGTGCCTACAGTACATCCCCTTTTCTTAGTGACCCCAAATCACTTTTTCTTTTAATAGTTAGAAGGTTTAGAAGTGTGTCTTCAAGCTTCGCTTTCAAGCCCCCAGGATAGGAAAGAGGGGACTACTACTTCCCGGCTCTCATACCCAGACATATTGTGACATCACTCGAACATGCGCAGTGCACACGCAGAGTCCTGAAACTAACTAGGGATATTGAGGCTATGGCATTAGGAATATCAGATTTTTATTCCTAATGCTATCGTAAAGTCTCTCAACCTTCCCTCCCTCTCAAACTTCCCTTCCACTCCCCCCCACCCCCCATAAGGTTTATTAACAGAGTACCATTGAGGTGGGTTATAAAATCACATGTGGTTCAGGATCCAATTCGAATGTATCCTACTTAATATAATAATTTGATGATATTATGTTCATGCACTGGTGCCCTTGTGTATCTAAGAGTCTATCAGTGTATTTGTTGGAGGTGGGGGATTGCAGTATCATTTGATCAACATTCTTTGATCTCTAGTGACTGGCTAGTAAATGTATCTACACCGTAGGGAATCACATACATGGACAGCTGAGCATTTGTTTTATTTTTATATATTTTTTAATATCTGTTGTACAGTTTCAATCTGTTCTATATACTTTTTCAGAAGTTTCAACCAATACTTCCTTACATAATAAACAGTACAAAGAAAAAGGACACTAGGAGCCCTGACCAAATGCTGTTTAAAACTTAATTTTTAATAATTATAAGTAAAAGGTCAGTAACAAAAAAAAAAACAAAAAACTCAATAAATCAACACATTGCAGTAGAAACAGATGGCCTACTGATCCGTTGATCCTTCCAAGTTTGATAAAATAAATACCATTAAGCTGGGTAATAACATTTGTATACCAAATATCAAAAAGAAAATTCCTGCTTAAGCTCCAAAACAAGATTGGCTAAACAACACAGTTTTGGTGTATAGATCATGCCCATGAAGTCTCACTACTCATTTCTATGCCATTTAAGAGTTAAATCACTTTTTTTAATCGCCTCTTATTCACATCTCACGAGGCTGAGACTTAACACTGTATAATATAGATTCACTTACGTAATGAATTCCAGCTATGCGTTTGGCAATGTGGTAGAAAGTGCCCTTCAAATAGAATATGGCAAGGTGTAACCTTCTCAGGAAGACAATGCTCTGACGAAAAACATAGACTGCCTTTATCAAAGTCTTTTTCTGCTGCTCTGATAGAGCAGAAACCTTTCGATGAAGCTTCTTCCCAATCCAGGAGCTCCTATAGGATACATAACTAAGGCTACTGTGTGACACACGGACTCCATCCATTTCAATCTGGAGCTCATGTTCAAAGCGTACTAGTTCCTTCTCCAACAGGTAAGGAAATAATGTATGGCAACAGATGAGTAGTGCTCTCTGAAACAAGGATGGAATCTTCCTCTTTGAAGAATCAACTTGGAGGATATTAACATATTCTTCACCAAGTGTTTGGTAACCTGAAAAATGGCAAGAAACTCGGTCACCTGCCTAATACAAGGTAAATTAACAAACACAGTATCAAACATACAAGGGGAAAAATGGTTTTGGAACTTCTAGCATTTGATGTTCAAAGTTACAGCCAAGGAGAACTTGGCCTCAGAGATAGTTCAACAGTAAGTTTTGATTTACGGGGAGGAAGGAAGAGAGAGGAAGAGAGAGGAAGAGAGAGGAAGAGAGAGGAAGAGAGAGGAAGAGAGAGGAAGAGAGAGGAAGAGAGAGGAAGAGAGAGGAAGAGAGAGGAAGAGAGAGGAAGAGAGAGGAAGAGAGAGGAAGAGAGAGGAAGAGAGAGGAAGAGAGAGGAAGAGAGAGGAAGAGAGAGGAAGAGAGAGGAAGAGAGAGGAAGAGAGAGGTGTGTGTCATGCCAGCAAGGCTTACTCTATCCAAAAACAGGGTTTTATGAAAATGCTGTGTTCACAGCAGTCTCCTTATTAGGGTTATTCATTTGAGTGAGAATTGCCAGGAATTCAAAATTCAGGCCAAAATATTATATAACATTATAATAGTTGGTTAAAGTAGCCCTTTAAATTAACCACCAAGTCACCAAAGGCCATGAGTTATTTGCCTTTTCTTTATTCAAATATTTGACACTTAAAAAAAAAAATTCTAAAGCAAGCCATATCCGGTTTGATGAAAACGATAGTCATACTTCTTAGCTTAACCCAAAACAGTAAGTCGCTTAGACAATGTAATTTCCCCTCCCCCAGGTCTAAGACTTGTTTATATGGAAAGCTGGCCTGATCAAAAGAATTTGTAGGCTTCTTTCTTCAATTTGGACTTCCTATAGAGATAGCAAATCTGACTGACCTTTCACGGAGGACATCTATTACCAACCTTGGCTTTCATTGTTACCCAACATGTTGAAGAACCGTTAAGAGAAAGATAGTTGTCAGGAATTGTTTAGTAGTGAAGCAAACTGGATCCATATGACACACTGCTTCAGAAAGAGTAATGGCAGACGTTCTTCAGAGTGTTGTGGCTGAGAACATCAAAGACGGTCAGAATTTATATCACCAAGGTGAAAGTAGGAAATTCCATTTCAATGATACCTGAAAAAGGGGCATGGGGAACCCAGATATGTGTTCACAGCCGTCTTCTTATTAGGGTTATTCATTGGAGTGAGAATTGCCAGAAATTCAAAGCGAATTTCAAAATTTAGGGCAAAATAATGGAATTGTAAACATTTTCCAAGTTAGTTATTGACCCTATCAAACAGGAAATAAACGTGTTGACTTTCTTCCGTGGTATCCCAATCACAACCTCTACATCTTAAACACACTGTAGGGAATAACACTGATCTGTTAACATACCTGAAAAGGTTGTTATGGTATAATAAGCAACGTCACACAGCAGTTCGATTTCTTTTCTCCACTGCAGCCACTTTTTAGCACCTGATATAAAAATGAAAAAATAATAACAAAAGCTAGGCAGACATATCTAATTATAAAATGTAAACATTTATGAAAGCACAAGCCAAGTATGTCCATAATTTGTTTTCCAGATGTTGGACTGATAAAATTCTGCAAACAGTAATCAAACCGTAAAATTGGACACAACATCCTTGTTCAAACAAAAAAAATGTAGATGACAAGTAGCTATTCAGCTAGTACTGAAATATAACTTTCCCAATACTCCACTGGCTCGTGGTTAGACAAATCTTCCTTATTATAAGAGTTGCGTTAGAACAGCAGAGCCGATCTATCAAATTACTTTAGAATCAGAACAGCTCGCAGAATCAAGTTATTCAAAACCCAAAGTGATAACTTAAATTTAAAGAGACAAATGCTATACTATCTTATATGTGAAACTAGACCAGCTCCTGATTCTAAGAGATCATTGAGTATCACTAAAACTTGGCAAACTTATTTTTGAATTTAAGTTATCCTGCCACTCATAACATATCTGATTATAATTTTCTATGATGATCACAATTTCTGAATGGTTGTTTCTTAATCTGTAACTTAAGAAAATCGCAAAATTGCACAATCCATGAATATCCATCTACAACTGAAATAAATAAAAAAACTACAATATTAATATAACTTGATTTTTGGAAAGGAAGTTTTATTGATATTACCTTTTACCTAGGAAGGGTTATTGGACAATTAAAAGACAGAGCTGTGGGAGAGCACTTTGAGACTTGTGCTTTATACCGATGTTGCAAAATGGGACATTGCACCAGAGCAAAGTCTATTCAAAAAGGATAACTGCATACAGGCAAAGAATTCTCATGAGGCCTTTGTGTACTTAGTAAAGTCTCATTATTCACATTTATTTAAAACGTATTTTACATATATTCATACCCATTAAACATTATTTGGTACTTAAATCTTTCCAATATCTATTGTAGAGTGTGCCATTCATTAGAAGCTCTGTCATCTCAGGAATTAATTGAAGATCTCAAAAAAGCCTTAAAAGGAATTTTGATGATAAGAGGTTACTACAGGTTAGGTGTAGAACTAGGTAATATATAAATGATGTAAAGGAACAAACAGTAATGCTAGCCTTGATGGCACGGTTACAAGACCAAGCAATGACTAGATTCTAGATGCTGTGGACTTTTCCCATACTCCTAGACTCGACTGTAAAGGAGGTGGTGTAGGCATCCTTCTCTCCCCTCAATGTAACTTTCAACCTATCCTCCCTGCCCTATCCTTTACTTCCTTTGAAGTTCACACTGTACGCATTTTTAAGCCCACTCCTTTAAGAATTGCCATCATCTACCGCCCCCCCAGTCACCCTAAACTATTTATTGAACACTTTTCCTCCTGGTAAACCCCACTTTCCTTCCTCTAGCACTCCATCCCTCATACTTGGGGACTTCAATATCCCGATCAACAAGCTCAACTGCCTTGATGCCTCTCGTCTGCTCTCTGTAACCTCCTCCTTTGGACTCACACAGATTTCTACCTCAGCAACTCATACTGCAGGAAACACTCTTGACCTCATCTGCACCAATCTCTGTACCACCTTTGATCTCTCCACTGTTCCATTTCCTTTGTCTGGCCACCATCTGCATACCCCATACCATAATTTCACCACCATCAACTCTCCAACCTCGCAGAAACCTCAACTCCCTTGATCTCCAGCACTTCTCCACCAAACTCCAAACATGCCTTTTACCCATCTCAACTGCCCTAACTTTGCAACCTCACTTCCAGAACTGCTGAAGAAAGTCTCACTTTGCATCTGACTTTGTCCACTATAAATTTATGCTGCGCTCCTACAGCATGGCTCTTTCCTTTGCAAAAGTAAACTACTTCAATACCCTCATAAGCACACTGTCCCATCAACCCAAACATCTGTTTCACACTTTTGATGCTCTTCTTTGCCCTGTGACTCCCCCTCCTTCCACCACCTTATCTGCCACAAACTTTGCATCTAATTTCACTGAGAAGATCTCTACAATCAGGAAAGAGATCTCTAATCTCTCTCCTACCCCTAACAATACATCACCCAACCCCACTCCCCCTGCCATCCTATGCTCATTTGCATCTGCTACAGCACAAGAGGTTTCTGCTCTGCTCCTGTCCTCCCACCCCACCACCTGTTCCCTCGATCCTATTCCCTCGCATCTCATGCGCACTTTCTCTCCCTCTCGCTAACATTTTCAATCTCTCCCTTTCCTCTGGCACATTTCCCTGACCCTTCAAACATGCAACCGTAACCCTGATTCTTAAAATGCCCAACCTTGATCCCAACTCCCCATCTCGCTACTGCCATTTGCCTCCAAGATCCTCAAGAGAGTTGTGTACGCCAGATTGACAGACTTTCTCGAATCCAACTCTCTGCTTGACCCCCTTCAGTCTGGATTCCACGCTGGTCACTCTGTCGAAACTGCTGTGACCAAAGTATCCAACGATTTATTGTTGCTAAATCTCACGGCTAATACTCTATCCTAATCCTCCTTGATCTTTCTGCCGCCTTTGACACTGTTGATCACCAACAGCTTCTTCTCATTCTCCGTAACTTTGGTCCACGAGATACTGCTCTCTCCTGGTGCTCCTCCTACCTCTCCCAGTGCTCTTTCAGTGTTTCTTTCTCTGGCTCTGCCTCTTCTCCCCAACCCCTCTCGGTCGGCGTCCCCCAAGGTTCTGTCCTTGGCCCCCTACTGTTCTCTATCTATACTGCCTCCCATGGTAAACCCATCAGCTCTTTTGGCTTCCAATATCATTTATATGCAGATGACACGCAAATCTACCTGTCCTCCCCTGATCTCTCTCCGCCCACCTTGACTCGTGTTTCGGACTGCCTCTCTGCTATTTCCAACTGGATGGCTGCTCACTTCCTTAAACTCAACCTGTCCAAAACAGAACTTCTAGATTTTCCTCCCTCAAGTGCTATTACTCCCGTGTGTCTCCATCCAAGTCAACAGCGCTCCAATCACCTCTACCTCGCAGGCTCGCTGCGTAGGGGTTCTTTTTGATTCTGACCTCTCTTTTACTCCTCATGTCCAATCAATAGCCAAATCCTGTCCTTCCAACTCAAGAACATAGATCACATCCGCCTATATCCAACGCCGGACGCAGTTAAGGTACTGGTTCATGCTGCTGTTCTCTCTCGCCTTGACTATTGCAATTCCCTTCTCACCGGTCTTACATGTTCCCAGTTTGCACCGCTGCAATCTATAATGAATGCGGCGGCGAGGCTTATTTTCCTGTCCGGTCGCACCTCCAACGCCTCCCCGCTCTGTCAGTCCCTGCATTGGCTTCCAGTTAGATTTAGGGCTCAATTCAAAATTCTGGCGCTTGCTTACAAATCCCTACATAATGCTGCTCCAACATACTTATCCTCCCTCATACACAAGTATGTCCCTTCGAGACCCCTGCGCTAAGCCCAAGACATCTGCCTATCCTCTGCCCGGACCCCACCTCTGACGCTCGCCTTCAAGACTTCTCCAGGGCTGCACCTATTCTGTGGAACTCCCTTCCCTCCTCAATCAGACTTTCACCCAGCCTCCACTCCTTCAAAAAAATCTTTGAAAACTCACTCCTTCATTAAAGCGTATCAATTAAACTGTCAGCAGGTTTCTCATCCCCCATCCCATGACTCCTTTCCTGCACCTGTCAAAAATGACCTACCAAGCACTCACAAACCCTTCTCTAACAAACTATTTAATTCCCCTACTTTAACCCTTTGTGTCACCATACCCCACTCCCTCTATGTGAGCTCATCGAGCAGGGCCCTCAACCCCCTCTGTTCCTGTACGTCCAGTGGTCTGATCTCAATTATGTGTCTGTTAGTCCACCCATTGTACAGCGCAACGGAATTAGTTGGCACTATATAAATAATAATAATAATAATAATAATAATAATATGGCTTGACTAAGGGGAACAGCTAGGGTTACTGGATGCCCATGTAACCGCGGCTGGTTCCCTTATTTACCACTATAAAGTCTTAAAGCATAGAACTTAGCAGTGCTAACTATACAGATATCTGAGCTATAATTTTATATTTTCATTATAAAATTTGTAATATTTGCATTTGCCCATAACACCCATGTTTTTGTAGACATTTATCAATGTAAAATATTATAGGACAGTGCATTAAAGGCACTGGTTTGTAGTATTTATAATGTATATAATTCAATAATCAAAAGAAAGATACCAAAAGAAGCTGCATTGATTTAAGAATCCTAAACCCTCCAGGACTTGGAAACACAGTGTCTGTTAACCCATGAAAGCTGGCCATCACTGCCCATGGCTCTGCATATGGAGTACAAGGCTCACTATGCTCAGCCAGTCTGTCCCCCCCCCCAGCTGCTTCAGGACTGCAACTCCCAGGACACTTAGCTGGTGTTAACCCGGGCAGAGCACCATGGGAGTTGTAGTCCTGCAGGAGCTGTGGCCGCCCTATCTAGGCAGAGGGCAGCTTGTTACCTGCAAACGCCTGGCAGGCCTCATGGGCCGGGCCCCGCAGGCAGCCCTGGAACTGCTCATCCTTCTGGCAGCTGCGGATGAGCTGGGGCTGGCCGGCCCTGAAGAAAGCCATGTCTAGTGTGATTGCCGGGGGCCCGTCACCATGGCAGCACGCCCAACGGAGCTCACAGCCATCCTGCCTTCACACACTGTGGCACTCTGACACCACTTCCGGGTGCACTCTGCGTCACGTCACGTGAGGGAGGGAGGCGGAGGGCTCGAGAAGCGCCAATGTTACCATGGTTACTGCTTATAGCTGGGGCGGCCTTAAACCCCACCCCTGAGATTCAATCCCGCCCCCTCTCGGCTAAGCCCACCCTGACACGCCCCCTTTAATATTAAGTCCCACCCTAACACGCCCCTTTCACGGCCAAGCCCCGCCCTGACCCGGCCCTTTCACTGCTAAGCCCCGCCCTGCCCCGCCCCTTTCAGACATAATGCTCCTTAGCTGTAAAAGCCATTCCATGTCAGGGTCAGTGCTTTACGGCTTATTTACCACATCTGCCAACAAGTCTTCACAGCTAATCAGCCAACAACATATACAGTGTTTATATCACTATTATCACCTTCATTGTATATAATCTGAGATCCAGCAACTTTTATAATTAACATCATGTGTTTAGTGATAATACTACTGAGTAACAGTGACATAATACTACTGAGTAACAGTGCTAATAGTACTGAGTAACAGTGATATAATACTACTGAGTAACAGTGATCTAATACTACTGAGTAACAGTGCTAATAGGACTGAGTAACAATGATATAATACTACTGAGTAACAGTGACATAATACTACTGAGTAACAGTAATAATACTACTGAGTAACAGTGATATAATACTACTGAGTAACAGTGATAATACTACTAACAGTGATAATATTACTGAGTAACAGTGATAATACTACTGAGAAACAGTGATAATACTACTAACAGTGATAATAGTACTGAGTAACAGTGATAATACTCCTAACAGTGATAATACTACTAACAGTGATAATATTACTGAGTAACAGTGATAATGCTACTAACAGTGATAATAGTACTGAGTAACAGTGATAATACTACTGAGTAACAGTGATAATACTACTAACAGTGATAATAGTACTAACAGTGATAATAGTACTGAGTAACAGTGATAATACTACTAACAGTGATAATAGTACTGAGTAACAGTGATAATACTACTGAGTAACAGTGATAATAGTACTGAGTAACAGTGATAATACTACTGAGTAATAGTGATAATACTACTGAGTAACAGTGATAATACTACTAACAGTGATAATAGTACTGAGTAACAGTGATAATACTACTAACAGTGATAATACTACTAACAGTGATAATAGTACTGAGTAACAGTGATAATACTACTAACAGTGATAATACTACTAACAGTTATAATAGTACTGAGTAACAGTGATAATACTCCTAACAGTGATACTACTACTAACAGTGATAATATTACTGAGTAACAGTGATAATGCTACTAACAGTGATAATAGTACTGAGTAACAGTGATAATACTACTGAGTAACAGTGCTAATAGTACTGAGTAACAATGATATAATACTACTGAGTAACAGTGATCTAATACTACTGAGTAACAGTAATAATACTACTGAGTAACAGTAATAATACTACTGAGTAACAGTGATATAATACTACTGAGTAACAGTAATAATACTACTGAGTAACAGTGATATAATACTACTGAGTAACAGTGATAATACTACTAACAGTGATAATAGTACTGAGTAACAGTGATAATACTACTAACAGTGATAATACTACTAACAGTGATAATAGTACTGAGTAACAGTGATAATACTACTAACAGTGATAATACTAATAACAGTGATAATACTACTGAGTAACATTGATAATACTACTGAGTAACAGTGATAATAGTACTGAGTAACAGTGATATTACTACTATGTAACAGTGATAATACTACTAACAGTGATAATAGTACTGAGTAACAGTGATACTACTACTGTGTAACAGTGATAATAGTACTGAGTAACAGTGATAATAGCACTGAGTAACAGTGATAATAGTACTAACAGTGATAATAGTACCGAGTAACAGTGACAATACTACTAACAGTGATAATACTACTGAGTAACAGTGATAATACTACTAACAGTGATAATAATACTGACAGTGATAATACTACTGAGTAACAGTGATAATACTACTAACAGTGATAATAGTACTGAGTAACAGTGATAATACTACTGAGAAACAGTGATAATACTACTAACAGTGATAATACTGAGTAACAGTGATAATACTACTGAGTAACAGTGATAATAGTACTAACAGTGATAATACTACTAACAGTGATAATAGTACTGAGTAACAGTGATAATACTCCTAACAGTGATACTACTACTAACAGTGATAATAGTACTGAGTAACAGTGATAATACTACTAACAGTGATAATACTACTAACAGTGATAATAGTACTGATTAACAGTGATAATACTACCGAGTAACAGTGATAATACTACTGAGTAACAGTGATAATACTACTAACAGTGATAATAGTACTGAGTAACAGTGATAATACTACTGAGAAACAGTGATAATACTACTAACAGTGATAATACTGAGTAACAGTGATAATACTACTGAGTAACAGTGATAATAGTACTAACAGTGATAATACTACTAACAGTGATAACAGTACTGAGTAACAGTGATAATACTCCTAACAGTGATACTACTACTAACAGTGATAATAGTACTGAGTAACAGTGATAATACTACTAACAGTGATAATACTACTAACAGTGATAATAGTACTGATTAACAGTGATAATACTACTGAGTAACAGTGATAATACTACTAACAGTGATAAAACTACTGAGTAACAGTGATAATACTACTAACAGTGATAATACTACTGAGTAACAGCGATAATACTACTAACAGTTATAATACTACTAAGTAACAGTGATAATACTACTGAGTAACAGTGATAATACTACTACCAGTGATAATACTACTGAGTAACAGTGATAATACTACTAACAGTGATAATACTACTGAGTAACAGTGATAATACTATAGAGTAACAGTGATAATACTACTGAGTAATAGTGATAATACTATAATGTGATAATCACTGTTAGTACTACTATCACTGTTACTCAGTACTATTATCACTGTTACTCAGTAGTATTAGCACTGTTACTCAGTACTATTATCACTGTTAGTAGTATTATCACTGTTAGTAGTATTATCACTGTTACTCAATTCTATTATCGCTGTTACTCAGTACTATTATCACTGTTAGTATTATCACTGTTACTCAGTAGTATTATCACTGTTAGAACTATTATCACTGTTACTCAGTACTATTATCACTATTACTCAGTAGTATTATCACTGTTAGTAGTATTATCACTGTTACTCAGTACTATTATCACAATTACTCAGTAATATTATCACTGTTACTCAGTACTGTTATCACTGTTAGTAGTATTATCACTCTTACTCAGTAATATTATCACTGTTAGTACTATTATCACTGTTACTCAGTAGTATTATCACTGTCAGTACTATTATCACTGTTACTCAGTAGTATTATCACTGTCAGTACTATTATCACTGTTAGTACTATTATCACTGTTAGTAGTATTATCACTGTTACTCAGTACTATTATCACTATTACTCTGTAATATTATCACTGTTAGTATTATCACTGTTATTCAGTACTATTATCACTGTCAGTACTATTATCACTGTTACTCAGTACTATTATCACTGTTAGCACTATTATCACTGTTACTCAGTAATACACATACTGACATACATACAGACAGACACATACTGACATACATACACACACACACACACACAGACATACATACTGACATACATAGATACATACATACACATACATACATACAGATACATACATATATACTGACATACATGCATACTGACATACATACATACACACATACTGACATACATACTGACATACATACATACATACACACATTCATACTGACATACATACATACATACACACATACATACATACATACTGACATACATACTGACATACATACATACATACACACATTCATACTGACATACATACATACATACACACATTCATACTGGCATACATACATACATACACACACACATACATAGCTAATTTTGCTTACTTTTTTTGCAGGAGGGTGGCTGTGGCTGATGGGAGTCGGCGTGGCTCCTGCGGCCTGTCTTTTTTCCCTTCCGCGCGGAGGGAGCTGGGAGGAAGGGACCGGCCGTCATTTCCTCCCAGCACTACTTGTGGCTTAGATTTTTTTAAAGGGGCCCGGTCGCGCTTTTGCCCGGCCGCAGGGCTGACCAGGCCCCTGAAGATATAGGGCCCATCAGGTGGCCCTGGTTCACACAGTCTAGACCCCTGCTCTAGACTGTGTGAAGTTTTAGTCAAAACTCGAAGATACTGGAAAAAATAGGGGTTGCATTGTTTGTGTGTATTATGAGCTATAGATTGTTTATATGTATAGGGGCTGTAGTGTTTATAGGGGATACAATGTGCATGTGTACATAGTGGTTGTAGTGTTTGAAATCGGGTAAAGTGTGGTTGTAGTGTGTGTGTTAGAATGCGTAGAGTTAGAATTAGAAACAAAGGAACTATACTGTCTCTAAAGACAAGGCAACAGCAATATAAGGCAATTATAGCTGTACATTTCCCCCTTATTAGTATGTATAATAGTAAATATAATAATATATGATGAGGTGCAACGGTCTGGCAAGAAGTCAACATGTTGACTAAAAAAGACCGAAATAAAATATTTATACTTAGATGAACAACTTCATCCATACCTTTTGTGTGTGGTTTCACCTGAAACAAATTTGTATTTGACAGGATTTAGTAGGCCTGGTTTAAAAAAAACAAAAGACCACTCACCTTCCCAAATGGGGTATGTTACCTTCCATAAGGATTGCCACACTTTATGGGTCATTTAAAATGCAGGCATTGATGCTTTTAGATGCCAGAACAGGAAAAAAGAGAGATGAGTATTTAACCCCTCCACTACCAAACAGTTTGCAAAAAGATGCATTACCAGAATCCGGAAATTTTGGGAAGTAATAGCTCTACTCCTGAGCAGACTAAGTGGACGGATCCTGCACCCAGCAGACTTCCTCACAGGTCAGT